ATGTCTCACCGGGTTGAGTGTGCTGAAAACTGGGCCAGCCAGCTATGTACTTCAGCTGGTGGGGCACTGAGGAGGAATCTGTGGGGTTAGATAGCCGTATGCCCAGCCCAGCAGTTAGGACCTAGATGTTCCACAGAGACCACAGTCTCATTGTGGGTATTGCTCCACAGACCACAGTCTCATTGCGGGTATTGCTCTGTTTGCACCTTTGTAAGTAGCTTGTGCTATTCTGATACCAACAAGGCCCCTCTCTCGACTAGTGAAGTCAGGATTGCGGCCCATGTGGCTGTGTTGCAACTGCCAAAGCGGCTGACGGTCAGTAGTTATCTGTAGTGGGTGTAACAATACGGAGGTGCATGCTATGGCCACTGTAGGCCAGGATAAATGTCCACTGGGCAGAATGGCGATGGTGTGGGTGTTTCTGGTGAATGCTGGACCCGCCAAACGTGGCATGCAGCTGGTTATTAAAAGAGTAGAACTAATGGAATGCCATGTTGCAAGCATCCAGGTAACATGTGCTGCACGGATGATACTAGGGTGAAGAGGCAGAGCGGCTCGTTGTGATACAACCTAATTGATATAATGTCATTGTGGGAGAGTGAACAACTGAGTTAGTTTTCTCTACCGTGCTATCTTGTAAAACGATGCACTGGTGCTTGAACTCGACCAGTGCCCCCCCCCCCCCTCCCTCCCTCTATTCACCTTAGCATGGTTGCTTGCAGGGGTACAGTCAGACCTCGCTTAACCGCACACATCCGTTTTCCACAAAAATATCCGGATAGGCGAGGGAACCGGATAATCGAACACACACATTGTATGTATGCATGGCATATGCTGTAAATCCGTAACCAGTGATTTTCTTCCGGATGGCGAGGTATCCGGATAAAAGAGGACCGGATAAGCGAGGTCTGACTGTAGTACCCCGCAATAGTGCAAACCAGAGCAGTGTATGTCTGATGTTGACCTCTAGCATTCGCTGCACCCTCTGTCTGGATCTATATGGGCATATGTGGGTAGATCTACAAAGACTGTGTCTGGTTGGTTGATGAAGGGGTCAGTATCAGCGGTTCAGGTTTAGCTGTCCAAGGGCCGACAGCCAATCTGTCACATGCATGTACAGTTATTCATTGCTCAAACGGCTCAGTCCTTTGGGAGCTAGCGTCCCTGTTGATACCACTCATACTAAAGCAGTCCTGGTAGGCTAGAGATGCTAGAGAAGCTTCAGGTCCATACACAGTCAGGTACAGGGTTTTCTTGGGCAATCCATGACTGGCTCTCAAGGCTGTCTGACACGTGTATCTTGGTAATCCGGAATTCTCCAGAAAGCATGATGCCTTTTAGAGGCGCTGCTGTTGCGACTGCGACTGTATCAGTACAAACTGAGCAGCTGGGGTGTGAGCGGACATCACTGCCTGGAGCGTGAACAGCCGCAGTTTTCTGGCATGCTTTGCGAAGCGGACGTCAGCTCTCTGGTGGCGGGAAGGATTGGTGCCAAGTGCTTTGAATGACTAGCATAGTAGTCGCACAGTTGTGTAAACAGCACTAGACGTATTCTCCAACCTGTTGACAGCTTTATGGTTGGTGAGTGACAGGTTGACACAAGGCGTACAGATTGAGATGTGTTGTAGCTCTATCCGGCATACCCAAAGTGTAGCTCAGGGCACTGCTGATAAAGACTGTACAGACTGAGCTAGTGCTAGTGCTAGTGCTCTACTCTAGCACTAGCTCGTGATGTCTCCACTATGCACTGTACCTGAGGTCACTGAATGACGGTCACGTCTTGTGATTAGTTTGCCGCTGCTGCCACTGTATCATGCAGAACCAGCAGTAGCAGCAGCAGCAGCACATGAGCGACCCCTCAACTGGCACCACGCTGATAGATGTAGGTACAGCTACAGCTACTTGTGCAATGTGTTTGTAAGAGTAGCTACTGATGATCACATGTCTGCTGTGCCGACCATGTACCAACATCTCTATCGCTTGTGAACCATCTGTCAGTTTTCCTAGCATGTGTGTTAGCTCATGCAGGCACAATCAGAGCGACAATTTGCTAACGAGGCCGGTGAACTCGTTGTCCACCACCAGTCCAGTCCATCCTGTGCTGTGGACTGTTGAGACTAGAGTAGGAGACAAGCAAGGGAGTTGTTGCTCAAGGGAGGTGGTGTCAGGCGGTGATGCTTCGGCAGAAATGGGCCGTCAACATGCGCTCCAGGGCTTCAGTGAGAATGTGTCACTCTCCCCTCTCTCTGTCTGTCCCAGTGGGTGGTACTGGCTTAAGCTGACGTGGAAGTCAGTGATGTCCGCTCATCTGTGCGGCCCCGCAGCAGGCGTGGGCGATCGCTGGAACAGTGGCATCGCAACTAGACACTGACTTTCCTCGTAACTGTTGATATTACAGAGTCAGTAGTTTGACCAACCAACATGCACTGGCCTTGACAAGCGTGCTTTTTACCAGCGAGAACTTCAATACATGCTGGCTATGTTGCGCCTGATCTTCTGCCATTGGCATTGGTGTGCCCGGTGTTGCGAGGAATTAATGGCACAACGTGCTGTGAGAGATAGTGGCATATATGTCGGGCTACATGTATTTATGTATAGCACAGTGTTCCCCTGTATGCTACCCCTGCATGCTGCCCTGTATTTTACCCCCGTGTACTATCTCTACATGCTACCCCTGCATTGTACTCCTGTGTACTACCTCTACATGCTACCCCTGCATGCCACCTCCGTATTTACCCCTGTGTGTTACCCCTGCATGCTACCCTGTATTGTACTCCTGTGTACTACCTCTACATGCTACTCCTGCATGCCACCTCCGTATTTACCCCTGTATACTACCCCTGTATGTTGCATGCACAAAGGAACATGGTCAAAGGAACATGGTCAGAACATCGTGATACTAACACACACCAGCAGCAAATACCAGGCACAACACACACCTCATAGACTTACTACAGTCGCTTCTTAGTTTTTAAACGATATTTTTGCAGAAACCATCATTCACGAAAATGGATGTCTAGCAGTGGTTGGATGCGAGAGCTGAATGTTTTTGTAGACCGAAGACAGTTACTGGCTGTGTTCAGTCATGTTTATAGCGGACGCTAAGGCCGGACAGATCTTACCGGAGTTCCCTTCGGGAATGGACACAATGATTTACTTTACATATTCACTGTCCCTGCAGACAAACACAGGATTGAATGAGATACAGGCTGAAGATATGACTGCGTGTCTTCGCTCCTGGGTCTTTCGCACCAAGCACTGTACTTCTCTGTCGCTTGTAATCACATGCTGTATAGGTTTGGCATCAGATCCCCATTGTCCAGAGGAGCACATCTTGGCAAAAAAATGCACTTGCTTTGGCTGTAATACTATCATACTAAGATTGCCAAGAGTAAGAAAACTCAACGTACTAGTAGCAAAGGTAAATAAGCTGCCAAGACTAAAGTGTGTAGCTCCGCATACAGGGCCTTCATCGGCGAAAACTCACATCATGTGTTCCAAGTGCGGTGTGAACTACTGTACGTACAACGAAAGCAAGCCTAGTAGTGTGCGCCGCACAGTCCGAAAATCTGCAATGATCATGCCAATGACTCGCAGAAGCCGAGTGATTTTCTGTCAGGGAGTGCTATTTTTACTACTCGTCTGGCCGCTAGAAAATGGCTGGGAACGTACAATGAGAACACTACAGCATGTGACATGAGTTTTCACTGTCGGCATACCCCATAGACAGAGTACCCAGAGCTGCACACTCGTTGTTGCTTCTCTACTCTTGGTTGTACTAATACAGATCTGTCGGGCGCCGAAGAACGGAGCGCCGAAGAACGGCCAGGCTAGAATTTTACCAAGCACCGCATATCAATGTACACACGAAGACTCAACTGCGCATTGACTGTAATACATGAAAATAAGAACGGTCTAGGCTAGGAGGCTGACCCCCCAGTTCTTTGGTTTAGGCTAGGAGGCTGACCCCCCAGTTCTTTGGTTTAGGCTAGGAGGCTGACCCCCAAGTTCTTTGGTTTAGGCTAGGAGGCTGACCCCCCAGTTCTTTGGTTTAGGCTAGGAGGCTGACCCCCCAGTTCTTTGGTTTAGGCTAGGAGGCTGACCCCCCAGTTCTTTGGTTTAGGCTAGGAGGCTGACCCCCCAGTTCTTTGGTTTAGGCTAGGAGGCTGACCCCCCAGTTCTTTGGTTTAGGTTAGGAGGCTGACCCCTCAGTTCTTTGGTTTAGGTTAGGAGGCTGACCCCCAGTTCTTTGGTTTAGGCTAGGAGGCTGACCCCTCAGTTCTTTGGTTTAGGTTAGGAGGCTGACCCCCAGTTCTTTGGTTTAGGCTAGGAGGCTGACCCCTCAGTTCTTTGGTTTAGGCTAGGAGGCTGACCCCCAGTTCTTTGGTTTAGGCTAGGAGGCTGACCCCCAGTTCTTTGGTTTAGGCTAGGAGGCTGACCCCCAGTTCTTTGGTTTAGGCTAGGAGGCTGACCCCCAGTTCTTTGGTTTAGGTTAGGAGGCTGACCCCCAGTTCTTTGGTTTAGGGTAGGAGGCTGACCCCCAGTTCTTTGGTTTAGGTTAGGAGGCTGACCCCCAGTTCTTTGGTTTAGGTTAGGAGGCTGACCCCTCAGTTCTTTGGTTTAGGCTAGGAGGCTGACCCCTCAGTTCTTTGGTTTAGGTTAGGAGGCTGACCCTCAGTTCTTTGGTTTAGGTTAAGAGGCTGACCCCCAGTTCTTCGGCGACCAGCAGTACTGTAGAAACTTAGAGGGAGTGGCGTGCGGGGGTTGACCAAGGCTCCGCATAATTATGAACTCCATATCATGTGCTCACTCTTGCCGTTCTGGCTTATCTGTGTCTCTGGCATTGCTTGTATGTACTACCTCTGCAGATTGGGAGGAATGGAGAGACAGTGCACATTCCCGGCAGAGACGCCAAGCTCTTAGCGGTACTGCTGACACAGTAGCCACGACTGCTCAGAATAACCAATGCTCGAAGGTTGTCTACCGCGATACTAACACCCTGTTGGTAGTTATGGCACGGCAGCATACGGTGAGTGCCGTGGCTGCTCGGAGGAGTGTGCTACCTGCTCAGATCGTACAGCGTGTACATCGTGTAAAAGCAATCGGCTCCTACAAGGTAATGCATGCCAGGACAAGTGCTCTAATGGATACGTTCTGCTACAGCGCAACGTAGGTTCCAGTGTGAGTGTTCGACTTGTCGACAGTGCTACGTTCAACATGGCTACACTGTCAGCTCAGCAAGGACGACTGGAAGTTCGAGATGAGAATGGAAATTGGGGAACTGTTTGCAACAAGAGCTTTACTTTGACATCTGCTAATGTGGTGTGCCAACAGCTAGGTCTCGGCATGGCTTCAGCGCTCACAAGTGGACGGTACGCAATAGCAAAACGTGACGCGCCCATAAATCTGGGCTATGTTAAATGCACTGGTCAGGAGAGTTCCATATTTGAATGTCCACTTAAGCGTCGTCAAGACACGCTGTGCACTCACTATGAAGATGTCGAAATTCAATGTGCTGGTCCAGACACTAGCAGATCATGTGTTGTACCGAACTGTCCACGTGGATTCTACCTAGCTCAAGACAAGAATAGTGACATGACTATTTGCCAAGCATGTGATACTGGCTGTGCAAGTTGCACTGCTACATCTACTAACTGTTTGGAGTGTCCATTTGGGCGGTTTCGCAAGCCAACGGGGACAAACGGCTCAATCTGCGTAGCCACCTGCGGAAACGGCTTCTATGGGAATACTGTCAGCAAGCGTTGTCTACCCTGTGCTCAGTCTTGTAAGACTTGTGCTAACGGTGGAAACAGCAATGTGTGCACCAGCTGTGCAAGTCAACAATTCTTGAAGGATGGTAGTTGTGTGGCATCATGTCCTGATTGGGAGATTCGACCCACTACTCGACTACTGAACTCCACAGCGACACGGCTAAAGGGTCTCATCGAAGTCTATTACCAGGGTGTATGGGGACCCATTTGTCGTGACAAATTTACAACGGTGGATGCCAACGTTGTATGTCGCTCTTTGGGCCTGGGACGTTCTCTACGAAGTACGTACCGCAGCTCATCGTATGCTGGAAGCAATATCCCTGCTCGGTCTGGCGATACCATGCTGGACGAAGTGGCATGTATCGGCAATGAGACGGATGTCCGATCATGCTCTCACGACGGATTTCGGACGCATAACTGCCTTCCCTCGGAAGATGTCGTAATCCAATGTTCTGGACCGTATGTACCTCCCAGTGAGCTTATTCAGTGTGTCAAGCAATGCCCAGATGGAACATTTCAGGAACGGCTAGACAAACTCTGCATTGCTTGTTCAGCTGATTGCCTCGGTTGCCGAGATCATGCTAGTGTGTGCACGAGCTGCAGACGAGGGAAATACCTAATTGGTACGTCGTGTGTCACGGACTGCCCCAGTCACATGTTTGCCAATACACTGACGGGAATGTGTACACGGTGCTCGTTGAATTGTGAAACATGTGGAGATGGACAACGGAACAACACGTGCACAAGCTGTAAAGATTCCAAGCTGCTGAGTGGCACATCGTGTGTACAAGCTTGTCCGCCACCAACTCTGGCACTGAACGGTCGCTGTGTAACAAAGTGTCAAGATGGCTACTATCCAGATATCCAGGAGCAGACCTGCCTAAAATGTACCTCCAACTGCACGCTGTGTACTAGCCAAGCACAATGTACAAGATGTGCACTGCCATATGCGGAACAAAACGGTCAATGCGTACTGCAATGCTCGCCAGGCAGAGGAGCCGAAGACGTTGTTCCCACGAATTCTCTTGTTCGACTTGCCGGCGGTACCTCCGACCAAGGTAGAGTGGAAGTCTATTTTGGTTCTCGCTGGGGAACCGTATGCGATGACTACTGGAGTATAACCAATGCGAGAGTGGTGTGCAGACAGCTAGGTTTCAACAGGGTCGTCAGATCACGCATTTCGTTATCCGCTAATAACATTCAACCAGCACACAACGATGACCCGATATGGATGGACAATGTTCAATGTCAAGACAGTGATGCTTCTCTATTCAACTGCTCTCACCACGGCTGGGGAAGGACAGATTGCTCGCACTCGGAAGATGTAGCCATTCAGTGCGGCGGCAGTTCAGCTAAGCGCTGTGTGAGCGTCTGCTCCGACGGACTGTACGGAACTCCATTGAGCACATGTAAGCGATGCTCTGGTAACTGTAGAACCTGCATAAATACGGCATCAACATGCACTGGTTGTAATACAGAGACATTCCTGTACAATTCCGAGTGCATCACACAATGTCCACGGGGATTTTTCAAGGACTACAGGCTCCAAAAATGCTCATCGTGTGATGGCAGCTGCTTATCATGTGCTTCCAGCGCCAGTTCCTGCACCAGTTGCCACCCGGGATACTATCTTGAAAACAACACCTGCACAGCACAATGTGGTCCCCAACGCTTTGCACTCGACTACAAAGCATCTGTACGACTGGTCAATGGCAAAACTCCACTGGAAGGCCGTGTGGAAATGTTTCATATGGGCAAGTGGGGATTCGTTTGTGATGACTACTGGTCGCTAGCCGATGGTGAGGTGCTGTGCCGGCAGCTGAACTATGGCCCAGTTATCGCTGTATTCTTTCGCAGCTACTTTGGTAGCAACGATACGCAGTCAATTGTACTGGATGACGTACGATGTACGGGAAATGAGACTCGTCTAGAGGACTGTGCTAGCCGCACACCCGGAACTCATAACTGCTACCTCTCAGAAGTTGCCGGTGTACAATGCGCTGGACCCAATTCAGCACGTCGATGTGTTGACCAGTGTCCCACTAACTACCGTGGTGTGCCCGGTGGGGTTTGCCAGCGATGTGACTTCTCTTGTGCGGACTGTGTCAGCAACGCTCCTACCACATGTACACAATGCTACGATGGATTCTTTCTAGAGGTCAGGGTCTGTAGTGTGTTGTTAATGCTATTGCTGCTGAGGCTGCTGTTTTTGGGGCTGTATTCACTGCATTTTGTATTGTCGGTGGTGGCTGGGGTAGTGTTTGTGCATGGCCGTTGTTGGTGAATGGTCGGTGTTGTGTGGTTGTGCACACCCTATACGCTATATCAGGCTTGTACTTCAAGATGCTTGCTCTTCTCTGAATTTGTCTTCCGTATTCTACTTTTCTCTGTCTTTCTGTGTCTCTGTCTCTTTCCCTGTGTGTCTCTCTCACTCTCTCACTCTCTCTCTCTCTCACTCTCTCTCACACTCTCTCTCTCTCGGCATCACTCTCTCTCTCTCTCTCTCTCTCTCTCTCTCTCTCTCTCTCTCTCTTCTCTCTCTTTCTCTTTCTCTCTCTTTCTCTCTCTCTCTCTCTCTCTCTCTCTCTCTCTCTCTCTCTCTCTCTCTCTCTCTCTCTCTCTCTCTCTCTCTCTCTCTCTCTCTCTCTCTCTCTCTCTCTCTCTCTCTCTCTCTCTCTCTCTCGTTGTTTTCTACTTCAGGGAGGCAAGTGCAAGGCAGCATGCAGCTCCAACTTCTACAATGTCAGTGCTGTGTGCAATCAATGCCATTCATCATGCAGCAAGTGTAGTGGTCCAGCTGCAACAGACTGCACTGATTGTCCGAAACGTAAGTGAAGATGACATGCTTCTATTCAGAGTGAAGTCTGCCATTTGGTAGACTGCGATTCTAATCCAGAATGCTTTGTGGGAATCCATTTGCAGTGCCACTTAATTGTCTGCATGTTTGTACGTGTCCACTGGACATACATACATGTATGTTTGTGTTGCAACATAGGGGCATTAGTCTGTTGCATGACATTTCAATGTGTGGAATGTGTTGTCATGGCTACTACCATGGTCTCTCTGGCAATATCATACAGGTCAACCCTCCTGGTTTCCCGGGAAATCGACAATACTCCTGGGGTCCCGGTGATTTCAAGCGGACTCCCGGGAAAATCACATTTTTGCTTGATCCAGTTTGTTCCTGAAAACTCCAGGGACTTGCCTTCAATGTCCCGGTTCTTTTTTCAAAAATATGTACAGTGCGCACTCGCACTGCGAACTGTGCAGGGCATTTTCAAGACCTGACCAGCCTACAAATTGTAGCCGGCATGATCTGCACCAACAGGCGTGCTAGGCATGCGACTGATCGAAGTGCACTGCGTGGTTGAACTGTGCTGTATGCAGAGTATGTGCTGCCAAACTTTTTTTGGCGGGAAAAGCTCTTTTCACTGGTTTTTGTGCCATCCAGGGATTTTTTTATAAAAAAAGAAATCAAGGGATTCTGCTTGTCTTGTCAAGGGATTGAGATTTTAGCGGTTGGCCAGTATGCAATATCTGTTCTGGACTTGTGCATTGACAGTTTGCTTGTGTGTGTGTGTGTGTGTGTGTTCTTCGTATTCATCTTCTTCAGCCAAGTATTTGTCGGGAGGTCGCTGTCAAGACGCTTGCACTGGCTATACACTGCATAAGGAGATGTCGCAGGGTATTCGACTGGCCAATGGCACGGCTCGATCTGGTCGTGTTGAAGTCTACAACTCCAACACCGGGCAATGGGGTACAGTTTGCGATGACCAGTGGACACTTCATGATGCTACTGTTGTTTGTCGTCAACTGGGCCTTGGTCCACCCGTTGCTACAATCAACCAACACAACAGATCACGCACTACAACATACTACAACCAGATCACAAACCTCTCCATTCCTATCGTGCTGGATGACCTTCACTGTAAGGGCTCAGAACCAACCTTGTTCGACTGCAATCATGCTGGAGTGAACAGTCATAACTGCCATCATAGAGAGGATGCTGGTGTTATCTGCTCACCACCGCTAGTGTCTGCGCCTATCTGTCTGCCTACTTGTGACACTTCGCAGGGATACCGTGTGAAAGATGCGGTAGCACGTACATGTGAAAAGTGTGCAGCGACATGTAAACGCTGCAGCACGGGAAGTGCCACCGTATGCGAAGAATGCATCGAGGGAAGATTCCTGAGTGCGTCTGAAAGTGGGCAGTGTGAAATCAAATGTGAAGATGGTTTCCATGGTGACACAACTGACGGTACATGCCAGCCATGTAATGAGAAATGTGATGGCTGTTTCAATGGAGCACGTGATGATATCTGTATTCGCTGTAATACCACACTGGACTTGGTCCTGGATGGCACACAATGTGTATCAGCTTGTCCAGCCGGAAAACGACCAGTGCGCGAAACCTACCAGAAGAATTTAACAAACATCCGCCTACAAGGCACTCAGCAAGTGCTACAACTCTACATCAACTCTAAATGGATTCCGTTCTGCTCTAGCAGAGGAGAGTGGGATCGCTACGCAGCCAGCGTTGTGTGCAGGCAGCTCGGCATGGGTTTACCAACACGATACTCCACGTCTCTTGTTCGCGCATTCAACCAGCTTCATGTGAACTTTCTGCGCTGTCTCGGTACAGAAGCCAACATATTTGAATGCCAGATGCAAACCAAAGCCTCTGTCTACAGTTGCTATCAGGCATCTGTACAGTGCAACGCATCTCTTGAGGCATACGATGAGGAAGTGTGCACAACTGTTAACGATAAACCATGCTCGAATGGATTATGCGAAGCAGCAGCTGGATGCTTCAACACTACTAAGATCGCCGGCTATAAATCAGCGTGCTGGGAGTGCCCGAAAAACTATGTGGGAGATGGACAAGACTGTAGAAGTAAGGATGAGATCATAGCGTATGCCTTAGAGGGTGAAGGGGGTGAGGTTGGGGGCGGGGGCAAGGGACTTAGATCATAGCGTATGGCTGGGGGGAGGGGGGGGGAGGGGTGAGGGACGTATGGCATTGTATTATGCTGGCCAGACCTGCCACAATCTTCACTTGCAACACAGCCATTGGTCCGAGGCAACTGCACCTTGGTGATTGTGAGATTCCTTTGCCTGTGGTCACTATCTGTGCTGCTATGGTGTACAGTCTACTCGCGATAAGTCACACACTTTCAAGTCGTGCACTCGCGATAAGTAAAGCACGCACTTTTAAGTCGCTCACTCGCAATAATTCCCGCACTTTTTTCCTATTTAGACGGCATATACTTTTGTATATGTATGCAAAAGCGTAAGTCACGCGCTCGCGATAAGTCACGGATTTTTGTCTTCAAGATCGGGTGCGCGACTCATCGAGAGTAGACTGGACTGTGTACAGCTTCACTGCCCAACCTGGCGTGCATGCTATCGACCATTGGGTGACCAGCCGCGCTTGCTAAGAACCGTATTCATCACTGGGTTTATAGAATAAATATGTTGGCGTCAGTGAGTCCACCCAGTACATATTTTCATTTTTTCTACTTGAGAACACGTGGTAAATTTAGGGAATGTTTTTGTATTTTTGACTTGCAGCTTATGCCCTTGAGCCACACAAACTGGTGTTGACACCACGCAACCGATCAGCTGTGGTGAACCAGACAGCAGCGGTTGTACTGTCCTGTGGTGCAAATGCAAGCAGTATAATCAACTGGTGAGTTTTGTTTTCTAGCCACCTGTATGGAGTGTGTGTGTGTAGGGGAGGGGGGGGGGGGGAGTAGCGGGAGAGACTCGCATGTGTGGGCGCCCACATACACACACGCGCGCGCGCGCGTGCGCCCGCACAGACGTACACACACGAGTGGAAAAGGTGTGTGAGGGAGCTGGTTGTATGCGCAAAAAACCCATCTGACATGTCCTTGTTGCAATTTATGCTGTGTAGCTAAATTCTTGCCAGAATGCCATACTAGTTCTTCGGCAACGGACTGAAATACAGGTTTTATTCACGACTTAAGACCACGGCTATTGTTACTACTGCACCTGTCATTGTCTGCTTGCTGTTGCTGTGTTCATTGTCTTCTTGCTGTTGCTGTGTTCATTGTCTTCTTGCTGTTGCTGTGTTCATTGTCTTCTTGCTGTTGCTGTGTTCATTGTCTTCTTGCTGCCAGGTTCCATGAAACACGCAGACTAAACCTACTGCCGGTGCAGACTACCACCTTGGATTACATCCGTCCTCGGTTCACCTACAAGCTGAGCGCTACTGGATCTCTGTTACTGGGACGTATACAGCTGTCCATGCAGGGAAAATATCAATGTTTCTCCAAGACCACACAGCTAAAACTATCAGCAAGCGCCTATGTGAATGTGCTCAGTCCAAGTATGTACCTTTCATATTCCTTTATGTCTGGCTAGTGTAGGCATTGGTGATCACTCACTAGAACATCGGGAACTAAACTGCATCAGTGAGCGGGTGATCATAGCATCATGTGGGATGTACTCAGTCACAAACACTGGAGGTGTGACTTGCACCTAGAGACAAGTAGTGCTTGCTCTCGCGTGCGCGCGCGTGTGTGTGTGTGTGTGTGTGTGTGTGTGTGTGTGCATGTGTGCGCACGCATTTGTGAGTTTGTGTGTGTGCAAGTGTGTCACTTGACAATGCTCTCAGGCCTTGACTGCAAACTAGCAAGTGTGTGTTTATGGTGCACTGCAGACCATTGCATGTCCACATACAATGTAGATTAGTGCTGCTGTGACAGTACCACTATGGGTATATACATCAGCAGAGCTGTAGGTGTGGGTAGCAAGTGATGTGTGCTATCCCCGTCACAGGTGTTGCATCATTTTGGTTGGCTCGGTTATTTTTGCAACATTTGCTAATGCTGGAAACCGCCCAATATTCGTGTCGCCAATTTTTCGCGATCTCTCAGAACCAGCGAGTTTGCGATGGCAAATGTTCGCGGAGCACTGGGGCCACACATATGCACCGACTGTTTAAGTTTGATTTCACGGTGGTTGATATTCGCGTTATTCTCTTCTCGCTAAATTGGCAAACATGAATACGCCGCAAACGCTAGGCAGTTTACGGTAGTTGAAAATGACTGCTTCTTCATATTGTGTGTGTGTGTGCCTTCTTCAGTTCCCATTGCTATTCGCCCGTTTAATCAAACGACTGTGGTTGCTGAAGCTGCTGAGTTTACACTGAGATGCCAGGTATGTCGACCAGTGTGTGTGTGTGGGGGGGGGGGGGGGGCGGGGCAGGGTGAAGAGTGATTTTGGTTGTATATTCGTCAGTCCGTTGGTGAACATCACATTCCTAACGCACTGCTGTAGCATCGGTGTTGTGCAGGCCCTGTGGAACCGGTCCGGTTAGTCAGGCCATGGCCGGACCAGTGTTTTGGCCAGCAATGTGTGTTTACTGCTGAGGAAATCGTGCGTATACCCTGCATATCGTACAGAAAGTATAAAGGCTAGTTGACGGCAAGACCAACCGAAAACTGCTTCCGCTGGTCCTGCTGTGGTCTTTGTGTTTGCTGCCTTGCAGGCTACTGACATATCATTGTTGTGTTCTTTGTTGTGTGTGTTGTCTTGCAGGCTACTGGTGTTCCCACTCCAACGATAACATGGTCACGTAGCAATGGGGGAGCTGTAGAAAACAACGGCGTCAAGTATACAGTGACGAATGACAGCTTGATCCTGCTCAATCCGACGCTCGCTGACACGGACACATACACTTGCAGTGCCAGTAACAATTTCTCTACAGCATCTGCATCCACAGTTGTCCGTGTGAAAGGTGAGAGAATGTTCTACACCTGTTGGACTATACCATGCCATTATGTTGTGAAATACCTGTATTGTCACTGGTGCTGTAGAGTATTCAGTTGATTTTAGACATGCAATTGCTCTGATGCCTGAAAGGTACACTGGTGCCGGGGTCCGGTCACTGTGTGTGTGTCTGGTCACTCTGTGTGTGTGTGTGTGTGTGTCTACTGCACTGGGTGTGTGTCTACTGCACTGCTGATGTTAAAAGTTCACCACTCCTGTTGCTTGTGGGTGATTTGTGTGTGTGGGTGTGTGGGTGCAGCTGCTTCTGCGTCTGCTGCTGTTTCTGCTGCTGCTGTTTCTGCTGCTGCTGTCACTGGTAATACTACTAGCTATCAATAGCCCTGTTGGTATTGTTCTACCATTCTCTCTGTGTATGGTCCCTGCCTAGACCATACAATGATCTAATCATGCAGTTTATACACACACGTAACTGGCTCACTCTGAACGGCTCTGAACTCGGAATGTAATTATCTTCAACCAGACTCAGCTGCAGCAAGTGAAGACTGCCTCCGAACATCCCAAAACCAACTTCACACGAGCTTGCATCTCTAGTGCGCATGCTCGTGAGAAGTCATAATAATATGACTCGACTGAGGGACACAACAATCTGTGATTGTGATCGTTCTCATGACTGTTATACCTGAGCTGTCATGGCTGTCATGGCTGGTGTTATCTCATGTTTGCATGCAGGTGCACCACTTTTCTCCCGCACACCTCCACTAGAGGGCATTGTCCTGGATGAGAACGAGGCTATCGTACTTACCTGTGGCATGGAGAACTTTACGGATACAGTCATCTACTGGCTGTATCCACGATCTGTCTATCAGCCTGAAAGCCGTGTCTTTGTCGCCGAGAATGCAAACGGTTAGTTCATTTCAGCAACTTATTCGTGTTATGTTCCCTGCTCTCTCTCTCTCTCTCTCTCTCTCTCTCTCTCTCTATCTATCTCTCTCTCTCTCCTGTGCCTGACCAAACCCCTGATTAGATGGCAATACTCGTAGTATTACATATTACGCTGAAGTTGTCTGATCCACTCCTTTCCACTTTGCCAACATTAGTACATTACAGTACGCGTACGTGTATGTTTTCAGTGCAGGTGTAGGCTGTAATACACGGTTGTAATTCTCAAAGCCGGTGTGCAATGATGGATGGTTGCAATTCGACAATGTCATTTTTGCTGTGCACCCCAGGTCCGACATCAACTCTTACAATTCGCGGAGCTGTTAGCGGTGACAGCGGCCTGTACACATGCAGTGCAAAGAACAGCGCAGGACAAGTGGACTATCAAATTCCCGTCACTGTCAGATGTAAGTAGTGAAAATAGCTTCCTGGTGTATGCATCTAGTGCTGTAGATCACTTTAGACCAGTAAGGAACAGTTTCCTGCGAGCACAGTCTCCCTTCGCCTTAGAACAACACATTCAGGCCTACAGGAGACCCAGGAGCCCGGCAATTCGAAACAGAATACCCTAACAGTGGAGATGAGGAGGGGATATGACCGAGTCGTATCACAACCACTGGCACAAGCGCCGAAAGCCCCATTAGCCATATCCATGTATAGCCCGTGCATGTGTCTGGCCACAAGTTCCCAGTTGACTGGCGGCGAGTACAGGGTGTACCCGGCCGGTGCAGCCACATTATCTGCTGGAATGCACACAGAGCACAGGTACAGTGCTGTCTCATTGCTCACCATTCGCCCATTCGCCCATTACATGTGTTGCCCAGCATTCTATTTCACTGAGGTTGCCAATCATCTGTATTGTTGCTTGCTAGTTATCTTCCCAGACTACATGTAAGTGTCACAAGATGCATTAGCCATCACGGTAGGTAATGTATTTCACACTGCCCTGCCGTCTGTATTTACCGCTCGCTATGTTTTGTATTTCACACCCACCATGTGCTAAAACTGTTCTGTGTTATTCAATGCTGCTGTTGCTGCTGCTGCTGCTGCTGTTGTTGTTATTGTTGTTGGTGTACAGCTACTATGGTCATGGTCAATCAGACAGTGTCACTGGAGTGTGCTGATTACTATGTCTCAGCGGATCGCAGAGTGCTCTGGAGCGTTCTCAGAGCCGATAGACGCACAAACGTTGCCTTCAACGAACGCTACGTTCAGAACGGCTCTCACCTGACTATCACTGGCTTGCAAGTGGGAGACGGTGGACAGTACGAGTGTCTGTTGGTGGATGTGTACGATACAGAACTGTCGCGTCGCGAAACCACTTTGGTCGTGCTTGGTAAGGTCACAAACTACACTGGATGCGTACTGCTATTTGCCAAGTCATGACTGTATTCTGGCAGCAAAGGCTTGCAAATGTTTGCCGTGGTTGCAGATGTTCTACTGCAATATCTTCTTTGCTAGGCTGTGTACATAGAGTAGCACTGTAGTACTGTGGTAGGTTCTCATTTGACCCTTGATGAAAAAACTACTACTACTAGTACCATGAATTGACAGACCTATTGAAGATGACAACGAAGAATGGTGTACGTACAGTTCAACTGCATGCCGTATTATTGCACTGTGCATGTACTGGAGGAGTTTCGAGTTGCTCTCTTCACGCACAATTGCTCATAAACAGTGTGTGCGTGCGTGTGCTTTGCGGGTCCAGGTCCGCCTGTGTTGACACCAGCGCCGGCCAGCCCTAACTTCACAATCACGGCTGCCAATGCATCGAAAACTATTGTCTTGGACGTTATCATTCAAAGGTAAGCAGCCATGTGTGACGCATCTTGTAGCATTAGGCACCACTGATGTTCTTTGCCCTGCTCGCGTCTATGTTCCTTCTTGTGTACAACCGGTCTGCCCGCCTCTGCGTACAGGGTCGTTGACTCTAAGTTGACCTCTTCATACAGGGTCGTTGACTCTAACTTCAAAACTTTGCTTGTGCTAAGTGCGCACGTGCTAACGATCAAAGTCTAAACACAGGGTTCGCAGCCAACCAAGCACACAAAATTCCAAACTTTTTCCAAACCAATTTCAAGAATTTCCAAACCCACTCGTGCAGGAAAAATAAATTATAAATCTCTTCTGCACGACTGTCTTCTCCACTACTAGTACAACCAGGGAGTAGTAAAATCCTCCCTGGTACTACCATCAACAAATTCACCAAGGTGCATTGCGATGATATCGCCTTCAGCAGCTAGAGCCCCTGAAAATAGCAGGGGAATTCATACGACGAGAGTTCCCCTCCGTAAGTTCAAATCCGCCTCCAGAGGGGGTTCCAATGAAACATTTACATAGCTGGTGTCCATCTCAGCGCAAAAGACGGCTTCATCCTCGCCAGCAAACTCATCTGAGTGCGAAAGGACCTCGCCATCCTGCTGTCCCGACTTCAAAGAATCAAAGTGGAGCGCGAGCGCCAGTAACAAAAAAACGGCCAAATAAAAGTCATCACCGACCGCGCTTGAGCTGCACTGAAATGACTGTACGAGACTCGTACATGCAGTGAACACCACGCATCGCCAGCGCGTCTTCTATCGCGGCACTCAAAACCGCCACTTGCATGCAGTACTGCCAGCAGTGCAGCACATCTGCGGCCAAAAAATCGAAATTCAAAACTTTTTCCAAACTTTTTCAAAAGGAGCGCCTTTTCAAAACTTTTTCCAGACCTGGAAAATTGAATTATAAAATCCAAACTTTTTCCAGACTTCCAAACTTCGCTGCGAACCCTGTAAACATGCATCTCACTGGTGTGGTTGTGTAAATTCTTCTTCTTCTTCTTTTTTTTTTAATCGTACTCAATGCCACTGTGTTTATCAGCACCAACTTATCAGAGATAGGGGGGTTAAAACGGATTGCCGCCCAGTATAGGCCACAGTCTCATCTGACCACTGTGTGTTTGCGGTGTTTGCGCTTGTGTATGCATCTAGTTCAACGCCGGTGTCGGTGGTGTGGAGAAGAAACGGCGTGGTCGTGAATGACGCACACGCTAAGCAGCTGTCAAACTACTCCCTGATGATCTGCGGTGTGCGGCCCGCCGACTATGGCAACTACACTGTAACGGTCTCCAACAACCTGGGATCCGACTATCTAGGTTAGTGACACACAGACAAGTACCCTGCCGTTATAGTACCGGGCATCTCTGACAGGAAGTACCCTGCCGTTATAGTACGGGCATCTCTAACAGGGACAAGTACCCTTCCGTTATAGTACCGGGAATCTCTGACTGGCAAGTGCCCCTTTCTGGCAAGCACCCAGCCACACACTAAAACTTGTATGATATCGGTGCCAGTTAACTCGACATCTGTACTAGTTAACTCTAGACATCGGTGCCAGTTATCTCGACATCGATACCAGCTAACTCGGCTTCCACTGTTTAAGCGTTGTGCACACCAGCCATTTTACTGGTGGGCTAGCTTTGGGCTAACGCGATAAGACCGGCGCACTGCTCTCTATCGTGCTCTTCAACTGAGCTGGCTTTACGTGCGTGTTCAACGGCTGCTCATACGCGCTCAAATCCACTTGGGTAGCTCTTGATGCGTTGACTTTGGCTAGTGCTTTCCTTTCCAGTGTCACTGAGCAGTCGCCGGAATTTATTTGCAAACACACAGACACACGCACACACACACACACATACACACACACAGCGTACTAGTATTGCATTCAGCCGGTATCTACGATAGTAAGAGTAACTAGGAGATATTATGATGTTCAGTGTAGTCACTACTACACAGTAACACTATTCATTGCAACACTGAGTTTGACTGAACTGCATCGTGCATGCAGAATACATACCGTGTCCTATCCACAATAAAATTATACTCGTGCGCTGCTCACTGTTTTTTTGTGTGTGTTTGTGTTTTCACTTCTACTGTGCAGACAATGCACAGATTGCAGAGCGACGGGTAGCGCCCACTGTTCCGCCGACCAGTACTGACGGCGGCTCAGGCAACGGTGCTACCATTGCCATTGCAGTTGTGTGCACACTGCTGGGGCTGGCCCTGATCGCTGTGCTTGTCGCGGTCGTGTACAGGCGACGTAGGGACCTGAAGAACTTTGACGTGAAGAACGGAGACAGGAAGAAAGTCGGTAAGGGCCCGCAGGCACCGCGCACCACTGCGGCCTTTGTCAGCGACGCACCAGACTCCATGGCCATTGGAAACCGATTGGCTGGTGACGATGGCGACGATGGCTTTGCCAGAGTGGGCCGCTCGGTGGCAACCAGGTCACCGCAGGATGTGCCGCAAGTCAAGCTAGATCCCAACGAGGATAAAGCACGTTACAACAGCGGTGTTTCCGACACGCTACATACATGTACAGACGTGTGAGTGAGATGGTGTACGATGAACTCGTCTGTGTGTATTTGAATTGCATCTAGAAAACCACGTTCCGGTAGTGGCAGGCACAGTCCTCCTCTAGCCCTCCCCAGCTCCAATAGTTCACGTGCATGTTTGACAACTCCCATATTCTCCTAACCAAATATCTGGTTTAGCCCCCTCCCCCCAACCCCTACCCTATCATATTGCCGTCCTGTCAGGTTTTCTTGATATAAATATTCAACATCTCCAATGGCATTCTGAATGTTTGAACCCTGGCTCGCTGCTCCTGCTGCTGAAACAATCGCGTGGCGCAAATCTCGTCTTGCCACCACATGCTTTAGACTGGATGTGGTGGCGGCAAGCCGCATACCGAATGCAGTGTTTGCCGTCGTTGCTGTTAGCACCACGAGCATGTGTGTTTTCAAGCTGGCTACTGACCACCATTGCTCTGCTTCACCCCACCGTATTTCTTACAAGGAGGTACATCCTTATATTGTGTGCTACTGCTAGCCGTACTAATATCATTATTTGGTACGTTTTTGTCTAATATTAATTCATTTAATTTGTGGCGCAAGCTGACTTTCCCATTTCATCCCCCTCCAACTTTTTGAATACTCGCTGTATATCTTTGTATTTTGCGCAGAATTTCGGGCTGAGTTCTTGTCCCGCCATTGTCCCGCTATTGTCGCCAGATTTTACGATAGAATTCTGCTTGCATATTTCTTTCATGACAGAGTTCTGCATGGAATCCATATGGACTGAGGAAGACCTACCGGCGGCTGTGTGGTGGCTGTGTTAGTCCACTGTATGGTACATGTGTGTAGCGTCAACTGCATGGGCATTTGCATAGTGTGGACCGTCGCTCGAAAATCCACACTAATCCAATGAATTGGGGTATGGGGGGGGGGGGCATGGGCATGGGCATTGCTAGGCCTGGCTGATCAAGTGCAGGACTAGCAAGGGCTGATTACACGACAGCATAAGTTGTACTCACACTCTACAGGCGCACACCAGTGTTGCCACTGCTTCGGCATGGCACAACTCTAGAACACACGTCACTGTGCAATGCTGCAGTGTCACAGCCAACGTCTGGATGAAGAGATGCATGCAGGGCGAGGTACACATCTGAACAACACCACAACCATGCAAACAGCAAAACAACCATGCAAACAACACAACCATGCAAACAGCACAACCATGCAAACAACACAACCATGCAAACAGCAAAACAACCATGCAAACAACATATGGAAGGGAGGGATACGAATTACTTACAACAAAATGCCCACATAGAATAGTAGGCACAGCATGTGCACATGAAATCCTTCCTGGGCTCAACAATCATAATACAAGGCAACATACGGTAGTGTCCACGTCCACAACACAGCATGGCATCCCGTGCACTCAGAATGCCGTAAAGGTTTTTATGACCTCGGTCTTGTGTGTGTGTGTGAGTTGTGGGGCCCCATTGGGCTCACTGATGCCAACGTGCGTAGCCAGAGATCAAAGTGCAAAGTATATGGGAGCTGCGGTAGCCGAAGCAGAACAACAACGCACAGTAGATCCATGCAGCCTGAACTGACACAGCATCTACAAGACAAGTGCGGAAGGCCATATTCTATAGTACACAGTCAACTTCGCTTTTAACGACACTCGGTACTCAGCGGGGCATCAAAAAAGGGTCCTTATTCGCGAAGTGTCGTTATACCCGAAGTCTCATTACATGTACTTCAGCAGTATTACAGTTGGATGGGACTTTGCTCTGGGCATGGAAAGTCTGTCGTTATTCGCGAGTTCTCAATATATCCGCAGTCGTTAATAGCGAAGTTGACTGTACCCCTGCCAAAAATGACACAAAATATTTCCCCACAGGTGAGCCCATCGCAGCTCAAGGTAGGAGTTGCACACTCCTGGCCATGCACTCTTGACACTAGCAAGAGTACAGGAGCTCATCATTCTACTCTTGATACTACACGTACTAACTAGCTATCCCCACACATTACGAATGCGAACAAATCTCAAGGAATGCAATCGGTCCAATGTGATAATTATAAGAAACCTAAACATGCAGCCAGCTGCAGACTAGCCAGCAGGCCAATAAAACAACAATAACAAATTAACAATACGAGTAGCAACAGGAAGCGAGTAGCAGCTCATGAGCATGGAGTATGTAGTATGTACACTGCACACAGAGCAGGGCACACTTGAGCAGCTGCTGAGCATGCACTCATTGCATGTCAATGGTGACCGTGAGCAGTTCCGAAGCCTTCCAGTCCACACACACACACTCAGCACAGCTCAGTGCATGTGTACACTGCAGCAGCAGCAAGCAGCTAACAATATGAGTACAGATGTAGCCGTTGCTCGCATCGTGTTGCACAAGTAGGAGTGTGCGATGTGCGACCACTCCCAGTAATTACAGGTAAAGATGGAGCAACAGAACTCAATGCATATCAGCTCTTACCAATAACAAGAAAGACCAACACTGCATCATCCCGCAGAGCGTCCAGCATATCATGAACAAGTCTTACTCCAGAGACTGAATGCACAGGGGACTAGCACCTCTCGCTGGTTAGAATGAAGACACTGGCTGCAGGTGACGCTCGTCAAAGAACCGATGAGGTTTCGGCTTCTTGGCGGCACCAGCTTGCGGAGCGAAAAACTGCGTCAGCTTTTTGGTCTTCTTGGCCGCTCTGGCCTTGCTCTCATCCTGCTCATCATCATCATCATCCTCCCTGAAACAAGACGCACAGGCAGACAGAAACAACGGTCACCAAAACTTGAACATGGTCCCTAACTCTACAACGTCCTGCATTCTGTGTGAGAACAACTGGCCACACTGCTGTCTACATGCAGTTTGAAGAGTACACGAAACCCAGAGTGCGCAGCTCAGATGGGTTGCTGTCACGTTGAGAATCCTGGGTTACATTGTTTTAGCGATATAGTGCATACCAGCAGGATTCAAGCAGATCTCCTGCTGCACAACTGCAGCTCAGCTGTACGCACTACGCCACTTCCCGCTGCTTACGCGCATCCATAAAGCCACAAGCTGCACAATCCGGGTTTCACGAACTCCTGGTTCAAGCACTTTGCAGCCACATAGATTATTGCAGACAGCAGTAGCAAGGAATGTGTGTACGTAAGTACAGTGGAACCTGTCGAAGACGACCGCTCAAGGGACCTTCAAAACGTGGTCTCTGTTACCAGGTGGTCTCTTTATCCAGGGTCATTTGACTGGAAATAGCATCTCTTGCTCCTGGTTTCAGTGGTCTTCTAGGACAGGTGGTCACCTTGACAGGTGGTCACCTTATCCAGGTGGTCACCTTATCCAGGTGGTCACCTTATCCAGGTGGTCACCTTGACAGGTTTCACTGTATGTGAACTGTATACTAAATACAACAGGCAGCAATATCAACACCAACAGATACCTAGCTAGCAGAAAGGAATATCATGGCACGAAAACGAACACGAGAGCTCGCTAACCATGTGACGGCGGCCGCCCTGGCGTCCAGCAGATTATCGCAGGTGGACCAGCTGAAGCGTATAAACTGAGTGAAGCCAAACGTCGGCTCAATGCACTTCACCAGCCAGTCCTTAGTGTTTGGATCTGGAACACACCGGCAACATCAACACCGCGGTTAATTAGACTTGGTGTGTGCATCTTGGCACACTATCACCATCAGGCTAACTGCTAACTGTAATGCACAGAAAGCCGCACCCGGTACTACATACACAGTAGTAGCGGGGTGGCGACAGCAGATATCTCTTTCCACATAGCAATAGAAAAGCTAAGTTACAGCTTACTGTAATTTCACACATTTTCGATACTTTCGGTGCAGCTGTTTCATACCTAAAATTAATTTCAAAACACCCAACAACCAGTAATACACATAATCCAATAGGGAACTGCTTCTAGGTACCTAAAACTTCCGTTCGCCTAACCTGGCCTTTTGCCCTCATACCGAAAATATTGAGCACCGAAAATTTCTGAAATTAGCACACCCTGCCTGTCTACTACAGGCTTCAGAAACAAGGGCAAGAGAGAGAGAGAGAGAGAGAGAGAGAGAGAGAGAGAGAGAGAGAGAGAGAGAGAGAGAGAGAGAGAGAGAGAGAGAGAGAGAGAGAGAGAGAGAGAGAGAGAGAGAGAGAGAGAGAGAGAGAGAGAGAGAGAGAGAGAGAGAGAGAGAGAGAGAGAGAGAGAGAGAGAGAGAGAGAGAGAGAGGATCACCATGTAGTACTCTCGCACAGTCCAGTGACAGTACAGGAGAGGACCGATGTGCGGAGCCATGCAGCCACTCAGTTGCACGACGGCAACAATAATAGCACCGGTTACACTGCATTACACTAACAGTATTGTATATACATGTATGCAATGGCTATTCATGAACACACACGCACACACACACCACCACCACCACCATATCAACAGCAGCAGCAGCAGCAGCACCACCACCGCCACAACAGCAACAACAACACAAGCTTAGAGCCAACCAACCTGCAGGGTACCCAGAGCCATAGTTAGCCGTTGAGAACGTTGGCATTTCGTTAAACTTCCACGACTTGAGAACGCGATCACGCACGACCTTTGCACAAATACTGGCAGCAGAGACGATGGGAAACTTGGCATCAGCCTTGGCGGACACGGTGATGTTGACACCCGGAAACTTGGCACTCAGCATATCCTGGTACTTGGCAGGTGGTCCAACAGTATCCACATACACCTGCAAAGTACAAAGTCAAAACACGCATACACGGTGTATGATCTATTCATGTTGACGACACAGTAGAATTCCGTTACAGTGAAACTTCAGTAATACGTACCTCCAGGGGACAAAAAGATCTGTACTACATAGTCGACGTGCTCTATTCCAAAGGTCACATGATTGGAGAAGATGTAGGGTCCTCAACAAATACTTATATTAAGTTTTTTGACGACCCTACATATCCTTTTTGCAGTGATTATGCCATCCTATGCAAAGAGAAAAGAATGCTCTACCCAGGGCACTTTTACACAGAAGCTTCTCTCTCCCTCCCCCTCTCCCTCCCTCCCTCTCTCCCTCTGTCTGTCTGTCTGTCTGTCTGTCTGTCTGTCTGTCTGTCTGTCTGTCTCTCGATGGCCTGTACATGTATATGACGTGTTAAACGGTATTTTCAGCTGCTGGACAATTTCAGACGTTCAGATATAAACAAGAAATCTTGTTCAGCGAATTGAAAGGGGAAGTACAGCATAAACAAAATTTACCGCTTGTAGTGGTCTGGGTGCCGAGTCGAATGGTATTTGGTCCAAGAAAGCTACAATGTTCCGCTCGTGCTACATTCCCAAACAATGTCACGCGCTTCCACCCACATTGGACAACTGCACTCTACTAGATTCTGATCGGGATTTGCAGGAAATTTCACAGGAAAGATCACGTTGTTCCTACGCAAGCACGGACTTCTGGACGTTGAACCGAATGGTGCTGGTCCAAGAAACGTTAAAACTGACTCCCAATCACACGCGGGCCCATACTTTACATCAGTCAATGTAGAAATGCACATTGGACATACATGTACATGTACAATGCACACACCCCACCCCCACCTTCTCCCTTCCAGCAAACACTGGTGCTGCAAATGGAGAGCAAATGAACTGACTGACAAGCACCACTCTCCCTAGAAAGGGAAGCTTACCTCTGACACATGAACACCTTGATCAATAGCATACTGGATCAGGCCAATTGCTGACGTATGCGAAATAACATTCAAACTGCACTTGGACCTGACAACAATGCACAAAAGCATGTACAGAGAAAAAGACATTGAGTGGTAACTGGTAACAGCTATATCAGACTAGCCATACCCACATCCATCATCACTTTGAATGGCTGGCTGGTGATGAGAATTGACACCATCTTCATCACTCTACAGGAGCTAAGGCAGTCTGCCAAGCGAGAGGGCAGGAATTGTCCGCGCTCATGGCATCATGGCGAGAAAAACACACAGTACAACAGTGACAACTACATGCCATGTACTACAGCACTCAGCAATAGCAGAGTGATGATTTACAGTCCATTCAGAAAAGGATGAGCACTATCTCTGGCTAGCTCCCGTATTGGGTGACTTTTTTGTGATTTTGTCATACACGACGGTGCAGTGCTGCGAGATTTGAAATTTGAAACAGGGTCCAAAAAGGTACCTCAACTGGGGTTCGAACCGCACAATGTACTGTTCTGCAAGTAGAGTGAACGGCCTGGAATTTCATGGTTTTTCCCAAAATAAGTGCTTCGGGGCAAAACCCGGTCGAAATCCTATTCTTGTTATGGCTTGCTTTTTGGAGAAATAGACTTCAGAAATATAATTGGAAGAGCATTCCACGGGGGATTGCCAAAGAAAATTGTGAAAAACTCAAATTTGACCCGTTTACGGCCAACAGCTAGGATAACATCTTTTTTTATGAATGGACTGTAGAAATCCACCAGCCATTATAGTGGCAGAGAGACTCGTGAGCATTGCTAACTTCACTACACAGCATTCAAGCTGACATTCAGCAGCCACAGTTACACGTCCACTGTATATGGCAGGCACTAAATCTGCGGACAGAACTGTTTCGTCCTTTGTGGACTCATCAGCGCAGCACAGAGAAAATGAGGCCGAACCTGATACCAATTTTCCAAAGCCAGATTTAAACCAGGCCCGAATGTACCTTGCCAGAGTGCTCAAACTGGCAAGTCAGTAAGCACCAAAGATAGTCCATTGCCAATGTCTTGATATTGTCATGTTGATGAAAACACCAAGTGAATGAAGACCAAAGTAGCGGTCAGAAAAGTTGAGAAAACTACCTTCACCAAAAATAATGACTTTTGTTGGTGTTCTTTCTTTTTAATTTCAGTCAGTATGGCAACTGTACTTCGTCTTGAAAATAAATAAATTATTATCGAGTACTCGATATCACGCTTGATAGTTTTTCCCCGTTGCCCCAGTGTTCCCTGACAAATTGTCCTTGTGAAAGTTGAGTGTGCGACGTGGTGACTAATGCTATTGGTGTGGCATGGTACTGTGCATGTGTTGACAGTTGACACCCATGCTAACAACAACAACAACAACAACAACAACAACACATGCATGCATGCATGACATCAGACTATACCACAATTGAAGGAGACAACACTGGTATACTAGAAATATTTGATCAACCTCATCCACCCATCCTACAGTGTGTGTAGAGTGTGTGGTGTGCCATGCCCCATGCTCACAAGTACAATGTGTGTAGAGTGTGTGGTGTGCCATGCCCCATGCTCACAAGTATAATGTGTGTAGAGTGTGTGGTGTGCCATGCCCCATGCTCACAAGTACAATGTGTGTAGAGTGTGTGGTGTGCCATGCCCCATGCTCACAAGTACAATGTGTGTAGAGTGTGTGGTGTGCCATGCCCCATGCTCACAAGTATGGGTAACTAACCTGTCACATCACATGACAAGCTCGAATCTGATGACAGAAGTTTGTGGGCAAAGCTCCGTGTGCAGCAGAAATCGGGGTGTTGAGCTGTCTGTGGGACAAGCAAGGCATGTCTCTGACACACACTGCATGCATTTTGTGCCTGGTTTTCCTGTTCGGATTTTTTGTTTCTTTTAGAAAGTCTTTCTGGTGCACAGTCGGTGTTTTAGATTTGGGAACTTTGTCTTGGGGGTAGCCTAACTGTTTCATCAGCCATGTCCAGACCAGAGTGTGGATCCTGTAGAAGTAGTAGTAAGCATGGCAAACTGTTGAAGTGTTTGCACGCATTGTGTGTGGAGTGTTTGGAAAAATACATCAGTGGCAAGGGCTCTGTGGGTTGTCCTGAATGTGGAACAACCACTCCAGCACCACAGAGAGGTGTTCCCTTGCTGCAGTACCTGCCAAATAGTGATGTTTCCAGTGATGGAAATGAGGCTACTGCTAGCACACAGTCCAGAAAGTTGTGTGATGAATGTGCTGAGGATACTAGAGCAGTGGCTGTTTGTATGGACTGCGGTGACAGTCTCTGTGCCATGCATGCCGAAGCACATCCTGCATCTCGCCGGACTTACAAGCACAAGGTTGTGCCACTCAGTGAGGCCGTGGAACATACAGGTGATAGAACATTAGCCAGCCAGCACAAATGCTCATTCCACCCCTCGTTTGTACAGTGTTCGTATTGCTTGAGTTGTGAGCAGCTAGTGTGTAAGCAATGTGTAAGCAGTGGTGATCATGCTGCTCACAATGTGCAGACTGTCACTGATGCATCTTCTAGCATTCGCCAGTCCTTGAAATCCAAGCTGACTAACACATCATGTGGAAGTGGCAGTGTTTTTGACGAGTCGATCAAGAAGTCTGAAGCGGCACTGAGTGGACTCCGGGATGAAACAGAAACTGTGTCCTCTCGTATCAACGATGTTCTTGGTGGGCTGAAGAAATCGATTGAAAAACGTCAACAGGAGCTTCTGGATGAGGTGGATCGACTGCAGTTGTCACATCTTCTTCCCCTTGAAGAGCAGAAGCGGCAGGTACTTGCTGGTGCCTCGTATAGCAAGAAAGTTCAACATCTGGCAGAGAACTGCAATGAGGATGTGAATTTCTTGAAGATGAGTAGATGGCTGGAGGACGCAGCGAAGAATGCTGTGAGTGCGTCCGAGAGAGATGTGACTGTGTTTGCTCCGGGAACTCTATCGTTTTCACCATACCACGTTGAGGAGCTGACTGCAGCCATTGCCAGAACTGGTGTGGTGAGTGACATTGGTATGCTGTCATCGGAGAAGAGTAGCATGACTACTGCAGCCAGTGTTGAGGAGGGAGACGACCTTACCGTGATCATTGAGCCGAGGAACGCCCACGGTGATAGTCTGGCTGTGACGGAGGCACATTTGTCTGGTGTTCACGTTGAAGTAACATCTGCGGACAACACCACCGACACCATTCAGCCTATGCTGATGCCCGACAGTAGTCCTAATGAAGGCACTAACATGATTGCAACGTACAAGACGACCGGAAAGAAGGGTTCAGTGCAGGTATCAGCCATGATTGGAGATCACCATGTAGCTGGAAGTCCTGCAATGGTTACCATCGTGGATCCGCGACCACAGTTTGATCCCAACCAATGCCATGCTGATCTTGCACTGTCAAACAACAACCGTACGGTTACTCGTGGAGCGACTTCTACCGGGAACTGGAGGTCAGTATGTGGCGTGAGGAAATGGGGTAGCGGCAAACACGAGATATCCCTCCGTCTTGATCGCATCACTGCTGGTAACGTTAAGCACATGTTATTCTTGTGTAATGCCCAGAGTCCACGACTAGACACATATCAAAGAGGAATTACCACATCGTTTGGATGGTACAGCCACACCACAAGTGATTCTGGTAACTGGACAGGCAGTGCACTGGGTCAACCATGGAGAGCCGGTGATATCATTCGCATGGCATTGGATTGTGACAATCACACGTTAGTCGGTCATCATGAGCGTACCGGAGCAACCGAGACACTGACCAACGTGACAGGTGAACTCTACCTCTACATCAGCCTGCTTTGCAGTGGAGACGAAGTTACTATTTTGTGAACTTGGAATCATCGTGCACGATCCTAGAGTGTAGAATTAGTTTGAGAGGTTCTCACAAATTCCAACTCTTTTGTTTGTATTACATTTTGTATCCAAAGTGACTCTTAACCAGGCCTACATGTACATGTACTTAATTTTGATAAACTTATAACCTATAGAATTATTATGGCGTAATTTTCCCTTCTCTCTCACAGTCTCAGGTAGTGGAACTGGTACTCCCAGTCCTTGCTCTTTGTCTACTCTTGTATGTACTCTGGTGCCTGGACCATGACAAACAGGTTTTTGTTCTTTTATCGACTTTTTACCACGTGCACTGCTGTCACATGTGTTTGCACTCCTGCCATATGTACTTGCACTGTTTTGCCCAAGATTTGGATATTGTACACTGGAGGTTTTCAGCGGTCACCTAGCATTGTGTTGTGTGCTCATGAAACCCATTGTGCGCATGTAATAGGCGACAGTGTGTTGTTTTAGCTTTTGCCTTGTTTACTACTGCAGCCTCGTGTTATGTTCAGTTCTGCTGCACCGTTCTGCAGCCTCGTGTTATGTTCAGTTCTACAGCACTGTTCTACAGCCTCGTGTTATGTTCAGTTCTACTTCACTGTTCTGCAGCCTCGTGTTATGTTCAGTTCTACTGCACTGTTCTGCAGCCTCGTGTTATGTTCAGTTCTACTGCACTGTTCTGCAGCCTCGTGTTATGTTCAGTTCTACTGGACTGTTCTGCAGCCTCGTGTTATGTTCAGTTCTACTGCACTGTTCTGCAGCCTCGTGTTATGTTCAGTTCTACTGCACTGTTCTACAGCCTCGTGTTATGTTCAGTTCTACTTCATTGTTCTGCAGCCTCGTGTTATGTTCAGTTCTACTGCACTGTTCTGCAGCCTCGTGTTATGTTCAGCTCTACTGCACTGTTCTGCAGCCTCGTGTTATGTTCAGTTCTACTGCACTGTTCTGCAGCCTCGTGTTATGTTCAGTTCTACTGCACTGTTCTGCAGCCCCGTGTTATGTTCAGCTCTACTGCACTGTTCTGCAGCCTCGTGTTATGTTCAGTTCTACTGCACTGTTCTGCAGCCTCGTGTTATGTTCGATTCTACAGCACTGTTCTGCAGCCTCGTGATATGTTCAGTTCTACTTCACTGTTCTGCTGACTGTGTTCTGTTCAGTTCTACTGCACTGTTCTGATGACTGTGTTATGTTCAGTTCTACTGCACTGTTCTGCTGACTGTGTTCTGATGATGTCACTACAAGTACATGACTGTACTACTTCAATTGCATTCTGCTTTTTCAGCATGTATAGCACAAAGACTGTTATGACAGTAATGTACCTGTGATCTGCTCTCTTATGCATAATGTCAGCGTCGGTGCATCCTGCTTTGGGACTAGCATAATGTCAGCGTCGTTGTATCCTGCTTTGGGACCAGCACACGTTCTGAACTCTTTCCATTGCATGAGGATCCTTTTAGATATTGAATCCCTTGTGATCTCACCTTCTCTTGCATTGCAATCCTTCCGACCTAGGATGTTTGGATTAGGGCGGTAATAGTTAAAGAAGTTGCTCCCTACATTGGAGGTCACACTATTTTGTGATTGCTCGCTGACTGACGGACGCTCCTTGACTGACTCATTTTGAGCTGTGGTGCGATAATCAATTTCATCCGGGAAGTTCAGCTTGTGAGAATACCGTGTCTCCCTGAATAAAAGTGGCGCCCTTTTACACTTAACTTCAAGGGGCAAAGAATGGGGTGCGACTGGATGTACTGCAATCCAGCAGCTGCCTTGGCGTACCTTGTGACTTCATTTTGAATTGTGTGGAAGAGGGAGAGAAAGAGGATGAGGTGGATGAGGAAGAGGAGGATGAGGATAGTGTACTTGATCTAGAGCTCACGTATCTCATTTGATCCATTGCACATGTTCAATTGCTTCGAACGCTCTCAAAACAGGCTACAGTGTTTACACACACACACACACACACACACACACACACACACACACACACACACACACACACACACACACACACACACACACACACACACACACACACACACACACACACACACACACACACACACATACACATCACGCGGATAGCACCACTGCACAGATGCCTACAGTGTGCAGTACACTCCTGAGATTTGCAACATGCTGTTCATGTCACATAACGCCGCAGTACGTCTGGCAGAGGCATAGCTCAGCAGCCTTTAGTACGTATGCGCGCGCCTTTCTTTGCTTTGTTTGCATCTCTCGCACGACCATATCACATGTGAGCGGCTTCAACGTTTGCAAGTGGTGTACATGTAGGTTATGTGCGAGCTGATTGTCATGTTGATGATCACGGATACTTCAGTTCTAGTGGCTTGTACAGTGGAACTCACTTGGTACGTACACCGATAAGCCACATACTCTTGTTTAGTACGGTCATTGTCCAGGGCACAGGTGTACTGAATCTACTATCTAGTGATCCATACAGAAGTATGTTTGGACAAGAAGTACAGTCAGTATCGCCTATACCGGCTATAGTGATCAATTTCTCAAATTCATTTTCATTTGCCATCACTAAGTATACACAGTTATTGCGTATAGTAATAATGGTATTATTCCAGGGTAATCGTCTATAGTAATATATCGCCTATAGTGATCAAAATTCATATTTCAAAAGACCTTTATAACATTATTTTTGCATCGGTTATAGTGATTGATGTAAAATCAAGTGGTGTCAGAGGAGAACAGGGTACGTGTTACTTCTTCGTGAAGAACTTACTTGTCCAGTGTTGTTTGGTGAGTTCTGCTTGTACAAGCTGCCAAATATGCCTCCATCGCGAGGAAATGCTCATGTCATGTGTCAGGAGCTGTAGCCAGCTATGCAGTGCGTATGTGCACAGCGCCCTGAGTCGTTTGACACCACACTCGCATACATTGCATGCAGTATCGAGCATAGTAATATATCGCTTATAGTGATAAAATGCTCAAAATCAAACACCAACGCTATAGGCGATACTGACTGTACCTTGGATACTAAGAACACTTTCCCGCCCATGGGGTAGGTGTTGTCAGAGTTACCGCGAGTGCGTGATGTACTTGGTCCGACTTTTTAAAATGTGCGCTTCACTTCAAAACTCAAGCATTTGTACAAAGGAGCACCTGTACTAAAAAATCAACCAAGAGACGGTAGATAGATAACTACTGTGTCGTTTCTTGGCCTGACCTTCTAGTTTTCATCGCTGCTGGTGTCTCAGGGCGCATCTGCAAGTGCGTCAACCTGTAAAACGTCGACATTTTTTTCATCTCCTCCAAGCTACACTGCGCTTCTTTGATTTTTTCACTCCATAGGCACGATTTACACGATCGACTTCGCCTCCTCCTCGTGCAGTACGACTACCAGAGTGGTGGCTGTAGGTGTTTTCGCCTGAAGCTCCCACGACACCTTCAAATGAGGCTAACAAGTAAACCACCGCGCATAAAAAATCACTTCTGACCACCGTGTACCGCGCGCGTAGGTCTACTGAGTCTGATCTGTGTCGACATGTCATGCAGTCAGACCATGCGTGCTCTTCCCTGCCTGTTTCACGAATCCACTGGCCCCGGAGACTGGCGATCTTGTGTCGCATCGCGATCGCGGCTCCGAGGACTCCGCACCGTATCCGCCGGATAATTCACCCTTTCTGCGCTTCAGTTTTCCAGCCAGGTTGTCGCCTGAAAGTCGACCTCAAGGCCGGTTATTTATTTCGATCAACTTCTCGACGCGGTCGACGATCACTTCTGTGATCTTGATTCGTCTGCCGCCACAACGTGAACGACTGCGAGAGAGATCAGCAAACTGGACGGAGCGATGCTGGTGCTTTCTGCACGAGTTTCTGGATGACGCGTTTGCTGAAATTCTGTCAAGGAAACAGCGATTGCAGCGATTTCAATCCGCCAGGAGGCACTCGAGAACGATCGCCCTGGAGGTTCTGGTACTCCGTGACAATCCCCCATCGCAGCGGGGTGTTGATTTCAGCACCAGGCCTTCTCTGTGTTGCGCGAGAAGCAACAGGAGTCCTCTGACGGCAAAATTTGGACGCAAAATGCTCGAGTCGACTTGGATCCCGAGCCGCTGCCTCCGTTGGAGTTGGAGCCATTTCTTCTTCAACATCACAAATTGACAACTGAAGGATAGTGTTAGGTAGCTATAAAGTTTATTCCGTCCTGAGATTATTTGAATTTGTTTGGTTGACGTTCGAAGCGAAACGCACATTTTAATAAGTCGGACCAAGTAGAGATATGGTTTGCACACTGAACACAAGACATGCTGTTCCGTCTGCAAAGGTGCTCAATTTATCGCGAGTGTGTTGCTGTGACTTTATTGTGAGAGTGCTGTCTGACTTACTGGCAGTAGACTGTACACTGTGCAACAAAGGTAGTGTTGGATAAAGGAAAGCCTCACTCAAATCTCAAACACGACAGCTCCATGCACCACCGCCCCATTATCGTACCAATGCCACAAATCTAAGTTACAGCCTAACACAATGACTTCGTAGAAGTCGAAGAAAAGAGCGCTAATGTCATTGGTCTACTCAAGCTCAACTGCTGAGGGGTACATTCCCCGAAACGCTGTGTATTGAGCAGGGAGTGGTGCTTTCTTGCAGGTTTGCCGAGTGGAAGGTTCGGTGGACTTCTCGTGTACTCTGGATGGAAAGTCGTGAGTCAGTCAAGTCGGCAGAAAAGCGCGAGCTCCCAGGTAGGGAGCAACACACAATAGGGAGGTTTAGTCCCACGTAATCCGTGGGTACTTTACGTGTGTGTACCACGTGATACTCAGTGACCCACGTACAGACGTTTTCTGATTCACGACATACCGTGTATGGAGGTTCACCCACGTTCCGCCAGAACGTGGGTGAAAATCAGAATGGAGCGCATTGTGCAAGCTGTGAGGGTGCTCAGCTGAAGAAGTTTCCGAAGCACGAAATCAAAATATTCGATGAGCTTCTTAGGCCCGGGTAGCTTCGTCTTTGACCAGGTTTGGGCCTTTCGCTTCATGCTTTTGTTTGTTCCGTGTGACTAAACACAACATTGCAACGTGGGTGCCCTTCATCCACTTTACGTGGATCACCCACGTACGCGTTTCCGTTACGTGGGAACTAAACCTCCCTATTTCCTCAAGTGGAATAGAGTTGGGGATTCCTGCACACCAAAGTGAGACAGGCATGCCAGGACAGCACACTAGCCATAGGAGAGAAGATCTATCAATGTACACATCTCACCGTTTGAGCATCTGTGTACTGATGTAGTTTGGTGAGATGATCTCCGTAGCCCAGCTCAGCATGTCCGTTGCTTCACAGATAGATGTCAGCAAAGTCTCTCGTTCCTCTTCCTTCAGCGTCTTGGAGTCTGAGAAGCGTGATAAGCACATGTACGTACACACACACACACACACATATGTACGTACACACACACGCGCGCACGCACACACACGCACATGCACACACACACACACTTGTACGTGTTGCTCACTGCCAAAACTGGTCACGTGGGTCTCCCCGGGAGAGGGGAGAGAGACTCAAAAGGAATCTTGGAAAGATGACTCAATTGGCTATTGAACCGCCCAACAGCCGACACCCCCTGAAATCCCAAAAACTCTGGGTGGACTTGAAAATGATCCCACTTATGGGCTCACCACACCTCAGTAAGTGGGTGAGGACAAGGTGCAGAAAAAGGATTGACGGCATCAGGGTATCCGTCCAGGGATCCAACTGCAGTTACCCCTGCCCCCAGTGACGGTAATACTTGCTACTAGTGTGGGTGGCTAAATCAGAGTGGATCTGATATAAGCTTCACTAGCACAATTGATTACACAAGAGTTAATCTAGCCGGAAGCAGTCCATGGTTAACAGGTATGTATACTTCAAATAGAAAGTATATGAACCCTGGAACCAACAAAGGTGGCAGGTACAACATTACACCTTCAAGTAGCCGAGCCCGTTGGCAACAGACCCAACACACAGGCGCGTACGCAGGGGGGGGGGGGGGGGGGGGAGGGGTTCCCGTTGCCCGGAACCCCCCCCCCCCCCAAATGTTCCAAACGAGCAACATTTTTGGGCACATTTTGGTAGGGCGTGCGATTGATCTGACAAGAATGCAAACTTCAACAGATCGTAACTCAGTCAAATCTGGCTCATTTCCAACGATCCAAATATCCAGGTCGAATAGAAAACTCTCAGCTGTCGGTAGAAACAGTTCGCGAAGCGCTGCGAGCAATAGTTCTTGAGATATAGCATTCGTAAGTTGAGCCGCGATCCCGGCAATTTCCAAAGCGCGCAGTGCGACTTGAGTATCAAGAATTTGAGACTATTCGTCACATTGACTTGCTCAAATTTGCAGGGGCTTCACTTGTGATATTCTCAAAACTCGAAACTCTGCGATCGAGAAAAACGAAATCGCTGGAGCAGGATGCGTTTGGGCCTTTGCGGCATTTTTGCACCGTTGCTGCACTCTATACTAGACATGGTTAGCATTTTATCGTTCACGCTATTTCGACGGTCGGCGTGTAGAGGGCGAGTCTACTGTTTTTGATGTGTTTTCGAGACACGGTTAGCAGTTCGGCTTCTGACTCCTGACGCAACGATAGACGTGTGAGGTAACCCTAGTTAGAATCTTACCGTTTCGTTCTCCCACTAAAAAGAGCTTTCTATCGTCGAAACGGCACCAAACAGACGGTATTTTGGGTTTGGGGTTCGAGTACCGTTGGATCTGTAAAATGCCATGTCTACACACACAAAAAAACGGTGCAGGCCGACCGTCGAAATAGCGTGAACGGTAAAATGCTAACCATGTCTACTATAGCTAGCGCTGGATACAGGTATAGTGCAGCAGCATAGCAGCTGGTCCGGCTGTGGCCGGATCAATGCCAAAAGTGCCCAGAATGCAGGATTTTGCACCCTAGTTAAAAAAATTCCCGGGGACACTCCCGACCCCCATGCACCCGGACCACCTCCACCAGCGGTGCTACCCGCCTGCAATGTCCTGGCTATCATGGTCGCTATCATCACGGCTGTTTTTTTACGCGAATTTGAACCATCTAATATGGCGTCGCCAAAGGGCATAAAATTCAACAATTTATAGTTGTATTTCCGTACGAACGTACGACACCGTGGTTGAATTCGGCCTGTTATCGCTTTGTTATGGCCAGGATCGCCTTGACCTAACGATTTTCAGATTCCACTCGAGTTCAGCTTCAAAAGGATACCACACACAACGGATGTTTCTTCGTCTTCCTTGCGTTGATGGCCCAGAGTTTTTCTCCTTCGTAGCTTGCCGACTTTGAAAACTGCCTTGATTAAACCCCCTTGTATACCCTTGTTCGATTTGGGTACCGCTTCGTTCGATTTGGTGTCGTATAGGTAAGTGTTTATAGGACCCACAGAAGAAATTTCGTGCCAATACGTGCGTGGAATACGAAATACGTGCGACGAACGTATTCACGTTTTTTGAATTTTTGAATTTCACATACCTAGTAATTTCCCACTATCACTGCTGAGTCGTACTCGTTCTGTGCTACTGTACAGTGGTCGTTGGAAATGGAGGAGCATGTGGCGTTTCTTCAGGAGGTCTGCCGTATTGGAGGCAGAAGATTTTCCTCCTTCAAGCAAAAAACACGCTACAGTGTAGACAAATATGGTGCCACACTGAAAAAAATTCATAACATCGACATCACCTTGGATAAGCCAGATATCCACCCACGCTACATTTGTGCGACTTGCGCACGTGCTTTGGAAAGAGCAGCACAGAAAGCAGAGCACTGTGGTGGTGGTTGTGGCCCACCAGTGCAATGGGAAACCCACAAGCGTGTGGACTGCACGTTTTGCAATAAACACACCGCAAAGAAACGAGGGATTCAAGATACTATCAAGAAGCCGTCTGTGTGCCTGCGTGGTGCAGCCGCAATATCCACAACCACCCACAGTAAAGAAGATACTAGCAGGGAAGTAGAGAGATGAAATAAAGAAACGAGCATGCCCACACCACCGTGCAAGTACAGCACTCACTCCAGATCGATTCATTGACAAGAATGCAGTGCACATCTGTGAAATATGCAAGCATGCTGTCGATGGTGCAATAGAAACGCCATGCTGTGGGGATTTGTTCTGCGTGGACTGCATGTGCGAGTGGCTGGAACGCAACAGTGTCTGCAAATCGTGCCATGAGCAGCTGATGGCATCACGGCTACGCCACCCGGGCAAAGCGCTAAGCAAATCAGCCAACAATATATCCATTCGATGTGATCACTATGAGCCATCTCTCAAGGGCTGCCCTGACGTTGTGTCTCTTCACAGACTACAGGTAGGCAGCAGTTACACTAATTACTATGCTAAGTTATTGTGTATGGCAATGAGTTGCATTAATCTAGCTGAGTGAGCTGCATAATAAACAGTTTGTTCCTCTATTCAAGTCGCTGATTGCAGTGAAAAGCTATGCCATGTACCACATGAAGTACTAGCATCACACGGTTACACAAAGTAGAAACTTACACCAACAAAGCAATGGGGTCTGTCCATATTGTTCTTGCAGGAGCATGTTCAAGAGTGTGCATTCAATCCGCAGAACACACGCATGAAACCTGTCCGGTCAGTTCGTCCATCATCCGCCGTAGCCGACGTCTTGACGGCATCACCTTCAAAACTGAAAGGAAACATTGCCACTAATCTGACTGCTCGTCTAGTCACGGCACGCGTTGAGGAAGGGAGATTAGAAGTGAAGACAGGAGATGGAGGAAGAGGCAAACCCCAAGTGTACCAGTTGACACCAGAAGGTAGCGTACCCTCCACTGAGGCATCGGCCTCGACACTCCGTCGGCGAGAGGCTGAACTCACCCGCATTGCAGAATCGGTATGCGGTGGCTCTGACGGCGCACGTGTTCAGATGATTGCTGGACTGAAGCGCCTTTCGCTATCTGCACAGGAGCAGCTCCTCCAAGATGCTGGACTATGCAGCAGCACGCCAGCTCCTGGAACGGCTTTGGCTATTAAAGCTGATCTGCAGCTCCCCTGGGCAAAGCTGCGAAAACTGAGGCAGTGGCTGAAGGTGATGGGTATCACCCTAGAATCGGAACAGCACGTGCGCGAGTTCGTAGCTAGGACACTGCCAAAGTATACAGCGCTTGACCTACCCTTCGCCCAAAAGGATGGAGAGATGTCAATGGCAGCAGCTGTATTCTTCCCTGACTTGATCAGCGTTGTTCTTCACTTTCTGGATGTCCTGAAGGAGAGTGATCGGCTATCATGGCATTCTGGAGCTATCCCCGCATCTGAGATATGGTTAAAAGTCGGTGGCGACCACGGTGGCGGAAGTTTCAAATTGAGTATGCAGATTGCAAATACTGACAACCCGAATGCCACGAGGAACACGATCCCAGTGCACATCTTCAACGAGAAGGACAGTGCAGCAAACCTGGAGACAGCGCTTGGGCAGTACCGCCCCCAACTGGAGCAGCTGCAGCTGACCCACTGGGAGGGGAAACAGATACGCGTCTTCTTGTTTGGAGACTATGAATTCCAAACGGTCAACTATGGTCTCTCTGGAGCAGGCGGTCTGCGTCCATGTCTCCACTGCCATTGTCTGAAGACGGACATGGCTCGTTGCCAAGAGGAGAGATGTAGCGAGGACAAGCGGCCGCGCTCACTCCAGACCCTCGCGCATGACCATGCCAAGTATGTTGAAGCTGGCTCGAGGCTTTCACATGCAAAGCATTTCAACAACGTCATCCGCCACTGCATTCTGCCAGTACCGATCAGCAATGCGATCATACCGATTCTGCACTTGGATCTTGGAATTTTCAAGTGGATGTTCGATGCCATGTTGAAAGAGATCCGTGAGCTCGACACCCAGATTGCTGCTAAGTGTGCTGCCATTGATAGTGACCCGGCCGCATTTTCGAAACTTTGCCAGCTCCATGCTGAAGTGCGGTCTGTAGAGTTGGCCATGAACGATGCCGCTGTGCAGAAACACACAATTCAGCAGCAGTTGCAATTCGTTGCACTTCATGCGCAGCAACACGTGGACCAGGATGTCGTGGGAGTAGTTGCAGAATTGCAGCAGCTCCACCAGACAGCTGTACAAACACACGACCTGCACAGCACCAAGCACACCAGGCTGCTGAATGACATCCAGAAGGTCACTGGCAGTAAGGGTTTTGAAGGGCCATGCTATTCCTCAGTCGAACCCGTCCTTCAAGACCACCTCATCAAACGCCAAGTATACCACAGTGGTTCCTTCGTTGGAAATCATGTGCATCGAGCATTGCAGCCCACTGTTGTCACTGCAATAACAAGTGCCCATGTTCCTGTTGTCCAGACTCGCTGTCCTGAACTGCTGCAGAACGCTCAAGACATCTCGAAACGGTATGAAGGCCTGATGACGGGATACGCCTCTTGTTGAGCTGATTTTTCGCACTGCAATCAAATCAGCAACGACGACATTGCGAGGCTCCAGAAGAACACCGATTTCATGACGGCATGCAGGGAGGAGATTGAGGAGATCGCCCACTTTCACGATTGAAAACGGTGGCCCAGCAACACCTTCTGACGACTACGAAGGAAGCCAGCACGCTTCTCCCGACGGCTAGGAAGAGAAAGGCAGAGGAGGAAACACCACCAGGAAGCTAGACTCACTTCGGTAAGGCAGTGTAGAATATTCGTCAACTACTTGCTGTTATTTTTTATCATTCTCCTTCCTTGATCGTCGACTCGATATGTCGAAAGTCGACACAGTCTCAGAGTTGAGAGTTTTTTTTTTGTTCCAAATCGACCCCGAAGCCGGTTTATCTAGGGACACCACAGGGGTTTTACATAATTTGACCAAAATATATAATATCGTTTGTTTTACAAAATATTCCGGGAAAACCACGTTGAACGCCGCCATATTGTAATCTGACAGCACGCGAGCAGCCGTGTCATGTGCGACCTCATTCTCTTCCTCTCGCGGATACCATTCCACTTTTAGGAAGCCCACGATTATGAAGATTGAGTGAGTAGAACTGAAGTTATGATCCAAGGAACGCGAACAATGCATAATTTTGAAATTTAAAAAAAAACACATTGTTCGTAATTCGGTTGGAAACCCCCCTTGAGGTGACCCTGCGTACGCGCCTGACACAATCAGGCATAAGTGTAGCCACCAACCAAACTAGCTGGCACACACACACACACACACACACACACACACACACACACACACACACACACACACACATGTACACACAAACACAGACCACACAAAGGTGTTTCCAGTATCAAGGGAAGGCAAAACCAAAAACCTCCCATAATAGGATAAATGTACAAATGAAATCGGCAGACTTGCAAATGTGCAAGTAGCCTATAAACCCACCGTACCAAGAACCAAGTCGTAGTCTCTTGAAAATAGTCACACTTTCATAAGGGCCCCCACACACATTATAGATAGAGAGAGCAAGTTGAAAGTATGGGAGTGCGGCAACTTGGGACGCATATAGCACATCTTATTATTATTGCATGGCCTCTTGAATCGTACGCAAACAAATTGGTTGTAGCGAGGTGCCTTCTACTGGAGCTGAACCCGAGAAGTGTAGGCTCTGCTCCAAAAACAGTGGAGGCAGCGGACTGGAATTTCCGCTGCCGAGGTCATATTTCCACATTCCAAAGTTGCCAGTTGCATCAGCGATTCAGCCACTGTCAGGTGTCTGTGTGACTGGGCCCAAACAAGGTCTCCCTAGATGCTATGACTGCCTGATATGCATGTGCAGCAGCAGCACCCTGTAATACATAACATATGTCATGATGATGTATGACTGCATGATGATGATGTATGACTGCATGATGATGTATGATGATGTATGACTGCATGATGATGTATGACTGCATGATGATGTATGATGATGTATGATGATGTATGATGATGTATGACTGCATGATGATGCATGATGATGTATGATGATGATGTATGACTGCATGATGATGTATGATGATGTCATCATCTTAGGAGTCATGGTGCATTGCTGAAGGACATTCAAATGAACTGTACAACTACCGTCTCTTACCGGCAAATCCCATTTCGGCCAGTCGCTCGTTCATAGACACTGGACAGAAGGCCGTACCGTATACCATAGGTCCTGTATACGCACAAATAAACAGTGCAACGCCATCAAAACATCATCACGTGCAGGTGCACCGACACACACCCATAGAACCCTAGCACACACATGTGTACTAGTCCGAGGACAACAGTGATTCAGGATCCGTCAGATATGCTGGCCAAGACTCGTACCTAGATGTGCAATCGGAATGGGGGCCACTTCACATGTTGGTTCAATATCGGGACAGGCCAACTCTCTGAAGATCCTTGGGAAGTTAGGGAGTAGGTTTCTTCTAGGGTGTGGGCACATTGCATCCCACCTGACCCCCTGAACTTTTGATCTTTGCCCCACACCTACGTATGCATGCATGGTTCCAGTTTAAATTTCTGGTAGGTCTAACGTGTAATGTTAGCAGCGTATGCAGGATAATTGACAAAAACAAAATGTGCGGTACATGTATATATAAACAGAAAGTTCAAGTACATGTACAAGTTTCCCTTATTTCGTGTTGCCTCTACGAACAATACCTTTTTGGACAGACAAGTTTGTAACGACATGTTGCGATCTGGACTAAAATTATACATGTACAGGTAATTCCATTTGTATGACGATATAAAAATGGTAGAAAAGACGTCTATCATTAATTTTTACCAATTTAAATCAAACAAATAAACAGCAGTGAATTTGAACAGCAGTCATGCAATAATTCCAAAGTTCCTTACCCAACACTGGTCCTCTACCAGCTTCATCGATACCAAGGCAGCATGGCTCATTCTTCGTAACTTCAGGAATTGGCCAATCCAAACGCAACTTCCCAGAGTTGTCAGCATGAAATTCACTCAAATCCAAATCGGTTGTTTCGAGTTCTCCGGACATTGTTCTACGTGGCTCTGAACAAACGGGGAATGCTGAAGACTCTGAAATCGTCAAGAACATACAAATTGTGCAAGAAGGTCACGAATCACAATTCAGGCACACTACAACCAGTGAAGGACTTCAAAATCAACACAGTGAATGCATAGCAATACATGACTGTAGTAACATCACTAAAACAAAACTTTTCACCAGGTTACATACAAAGTACTTCCTTACCGGCCTAGTGACCAGTCCCGTTGAAGAAGTCACGAACAGGTGAGGATATACTCCGCTTAGTGGATTATCATTAATTTTATCCAGGTCCAAGCTCACCCAAATTGTCAAGAGAAATTCGAAACAAACACAGAACTCGACGAACAAATCTTGTACAAAGCAGGTTAGGTTTGGTGGGTAGATCTACGAGCAAGCAGGTTCCACATGCACAAGCAAGGCATTTCCCGGGTTCTATACTTTATCAAAATCGAAGAATCGCGCCAAACACCATGGAAACAGTACACTTGTGCTTGTACACGTGACTAGTGCAAAATATTGAAATAACAGAACCAGCCTCGAAGAAAGAATCAGTTTGAAAAGATGAGACTGATTTCTCGCAACTATTTTTCTATTGTCAGTTCTCAAATAGCAATAGGTCAAGCTCACCGTGTTATTGCTTCATCTAGTATGCCGAAAACAAGGGCGAAAACCCAAGCTACGAAAAGGAAAGCCTCCCAAGAATCAGATCCTCCGCCGAAGCGAGGAAAGAAATCCGAAGAAAAAGATGACGACGCTGTAGCACTTGCAAAGGACAAGAATCCACAAAGCAGCGCTGCAGTGTCCGCAGTAGCAAGTGGCAGCAATGGCGAGCAGTGCTGGCTTTTCAAATCTGAGCCGGAAAGCAGAGTGGAGAATGGTGTGGACGTGAAGTTTGGCATAGACGATTTAGCCGAAGAAGCAGATCAGACGGCTTGCTGGGATGGAGTTCGTAACTACCAAGCCAGGAATTTCATGCGTGATCGCATGAGAGTGGGAGAGCTGGGGTTCTTCTATCACAGTAACTGCAAGGTGCCTGGAATAGCAGGTATAGTGCGAGTTGTGAAGGAGGGCTATACAGACCATACACAGTTCGATCGCAAGGACATTCACTACGATCCCAAGAGCAAGAAAGACGCACCGAAATGGTTCATGGTTGACGTGCAGCTGGTGCGCAAGCTGAAGCGGTTCGTGCCGCTCAGCGAGCTGAAGGCAACCTTTCAGAAGCATTCTTCATCCGGTGGTCCCCTTTGCAAGCTCGCACTCTTCTGCAGTGCCCGGCTTAGCGTACAGCCAGTGACGAAAGCCGAGTTTGATTACATTGTCCAATTGAGTGACACTGACGCTGAACAGGATGAATAGTGCCTACAATAAGGTGATCGCTTGTAAGCTACTTGTACAGTCATGCAAGTGATCAGACAAGATGTGTTCCTGTCTCCATATCAACGCCAATCAGGATACACAGCATCCCGGACTCTGCCCTCTGACTATGATGTTGATACATCACACACCTACACTCACATACACTGTAACACACACATGCACACATTTACGATGTGGGTGATGCTGTCCTGACTGCAACCATGACCATGGTGATAGTCACATGACAAGCATAGTGTTCATTGCAGCAACAAAGTCCTCTAGTGCATGCCCTGTGCCAGCTCGCCTATCAGCTGACAACCTGTTTTGGCATGCGTGTTTGCAGGTCCTGCGTGGGCGGATTGCAAAACCTCGATGAAGCATCAGTGGTTTTGTGCTCCAACTAGGGTGTTGCATACCACATGCACATACCTCTGTGCCTATGGTTTGGTGTGTTCTGTCAAACGTCGGTGTGCTGATGCCGCTCATGGTGAACTGCCCATGATGAATGTTTTGAGTATCGTCGATACATGTATTCCCTGCGCCTATAACCGTACCATCTATGCAGCGTATTCAGTGTGTGATGTAGGTGAGGTCGTCCAACTGGCCAAGTCTGCAAGGACCACACTTCTGAGTGTGTTGAATGGAACTGCATTGCGCAACGTCCCAACTTGCATTGTAGTGTAGCGTATGCCTCTGCTGGCGTTCTGCTATGTCTGTGTGTCTTTACTCGTTAGTAGAACTGCATGGACTGGTGCACATGTCCATGTATATCTGCACACTTACTTGTGTTTCGCGTGGTCTCCACCGAATAATACCGGTGTATTCTTGGCCAAACCGCTTCACTGCTCCTAGCTGTACTTGTGCAGGATTCACACTATCCTCCTGTGTATCTTGGTGACATGGTGTATTCTGTGTTCAGTGTTTTCAGTGTTGTGTGCTGCAGCCAGTGACATGTATTTGGCGAGTTGCTGATTTAGACTGTAGGGTTTGCTCTTTGCTTCCGTACTGGCGGTCTCTGTTCTTGAAGCGACTACATGTCCTCTCATTCGTATTCTTTTTATCTGTTTTATATTAGGTGCTCCAGATCTGTGTTTCATGCGTGGAGGTGTGCTCGCGCTCATGTTGTGGTGCTCGTCGTGTTTGTGCTGTGGCAGACACTTGGTTGCAGGTGTGTGCTGCTTTCTTATTCCAACAACAAGCAACGGCCGTACTGCGCAATGCTCAAAGAATGTAATCCTACTGGTCTACATGTAGTGGTACGGTACTGCCCGGCGCTGAAGAACGATGTGCAGATGAGTGAACACTGAACAGGCTAGAATTTGACCAGGCACAGAATTCCTGTCTATACATGGTGGCTCGACTACGAGTGCTGCTCAGTGAAATCCACTTATTTTCCACACCTGTGTACTATTATTAATACTTATTATCTTCCTATCATCCCCTGGTTTCTCATCATTGCGTTGCTTTAAAGAGGCTGTACTACTGTAAAAAATAATAATAATAATAAACACTATCTATTCTTGTACCACTGCACCATGTGGCCGGTTACAACAGCGGTTGTCGTGGCTACGAGCATGAGTGCGCAGCACGGCACCAACAGCCGCCATCATGTGACCAGGCTGCACTACTAGTACTACCCGGAGGCTGAACGTGACAAGCCGCTAGCACAGGTACCGTCTAAACCATACATGTACAGCTTGACAGGTAATGGGAGATACAACACCTTGCAGAGAGAAAATAATATGATAAAAATATCGTTCAAGATACAGAGGCAATGGGTTTACTGGCAGCCGTCGTGAGTTCCCTTGAACGCACATGATAAGTAGTACCGGTAGTAGTAGTAGTAGTAGTAGTAGTAGTAGTACATTTAGTAGTGACCACCAGGAGAATATATATATTTTTCGCAATGACAACTCTAGATACGCATCCATTTGCTTTCGGAGGATTGTCTAACAAAGAAAACTGTAAAGACTAACGTCGTCGGTGTGTGAACAATGTCGGTGTCATGTTAGACTAGCAGCCAGACTGCGGTGATGAGCATAGGCAGCAGGCCACCGAACAACGTGCTGCGCAGTGGGACGGCACCGGAAAACTGTGGCTTTTGCGTGGGAACGAGATCTCCCGACTGCGTTCTCAGAACAAAGCGTGCGTTGTCCGACTTGGCTACCACCGACATGTACAGCACCTGGCCGCCTATGACCGTGTCACCAGCAGAGCTACGACGTCGCCGCCGGCGGCTCTCCCTGACATTGATGCCACTGTCATCCTTAGCTAGAAAGTAACCTGTCTCCCCACTTGGAACGATGCCACTGGCATCGTTCAGGGCTGCATTAGGGTTTGGGAAGCTGAAGGATGCGAAGAAACCCAGGTCACCTTCTTGTGATGTGAGTGTAACCGTGACGACTGGAGGCTCTCCCTCGGGTAGTGGCGTTACAATGAACTGTGTTTCATTCTCCTTCAGCGTGCCGCCAATAGGCTCTTCGAATGTCGCTGGCGCGGGGGCTGGGTAAGTGAAGAAGCACAAACATGACGCACGAACACACATGCGCACATGCGTGCACATACACATGCACACGCACATACGCACACACACACACACACACACACACACACACACACACAGAAACGCAGCATTATCACACTGCTTCTTTGTTCCTTTTCGAAAAATTGAGCAGTTCACCTCGGCTGGGCAGGAGTCCGTGTCATTTCGGCACTGCATTCTTGGCCCGGCTTACCATGCACTTCTCCTCGAATACAAATACAGTCGACCTACCCTTATAACGATAACCTCTATAACGATATTACCCTTATAACGATATTTTTCTGCCAAACCAAATCACTCCATTGACTTGTGTATACAATGCCTTACCTCTATAACAATATTGCTATAACGATATTACCCCTATAACAATATAAAATGGGCTGACCAATCGACATTTTCCATTTTATAACAATATCTAGCAGGGAATATGTAGAGCCCACTATCCAGGTAGGGCAAGCTTCACTTGATAAGTCGCTGGGACATGACGAAATGCAACAAAAACACCAGTGGGCACCTTGCTGTGTACATAATGTACATGTAAAATGATGTATGTCAGTTTTTTATGCTATGAGGAGTGTAAAAAATGAACAAAATCCATGCATTGTGACGTATGTGTATGAAATGAACCAGTTACCCCTATAACAATATTACCCTTATAACAATATTTCTTGGTCTGACGCAAATATCGTTATAAGGGTAGGTCGACTGTACAGTATCTATACGGCATCACCTGTATGTTCGCATGTACAGGCAGTAAAATTCAGTTGCGAGCACAAGACGAAGACCGGACGGAGTCACGATTGAGCCAAAACTGATAGGAATCCATTGCAATCATATTATTATCCCAGACCCGGCGGAACCGGTCCGGCTGGTCAGGCCATGCCTCGACCAGCTTTTCGGCTACCAGCTTGTGTTTACTACTGAGGAGGTCATGTGACTACCCTCCATATCATAAACAAACTGTATGAACGGCTAGGGTATGTCCGGACCAATCAAAAACTGCTTCCCCCGCCGGCCGGTCCTGTATAATCCCCAAGCTCGGTGAACAAGATGCAAGCACACAAAGGTGCACCACAGCGCCAGATTGCGGCACTCGTGCAGGCCGACACTGGAAGCAGTGAAATCTGCCCCATGCCCCGGCTCTGCAGTCACTGAAACTTGCACCAGCACGCCTTGACAATTTCTGGTCTCGGAAACATTGGAAAGAAGGGAACCGGGCCACGCGTGTCCCTTTCCGCGATACGTGTACCGTATTTTTCATTGTACCGAATCATGATTCGGAACCATGGGAAATAGAAATTGTGCATAATGGTCCATACATGTTACCATATTCTTTCCACAAAACCCCTGTCTCACTATACCCTACCCAGAGCTACTGCAAAGCTACTTACTTCTGCATGTGCGTTCACGGATGCTTGTTCGAATGTTGTCAATGATGCGGTAGTCGCTGATGGTGAAGACGTGAGCCTCATCTGGATCAGACGCGATTTGTTCCAGTTCCGTTTGGTCGTAATTTCCTATGCCAATAGCGAAGAGTGTGATACCAAAGCCGTGCGCAAGCGTTGCTGGTGGCCCAACATCATCGTGCGATTTTCCGTCTGTAAGCACGATGCCCACGCGGGGCTGTATTCTAACAGGTGTGGTGGCCACAGTTGGATTCTGCGTTGAGAGCTCTGGTGGAGGTGTTGGTATAAATGCACCACCGCCTCCCTCTCCAGCCCCCGGACTACCTGGGTCGCTGGCCTGTTCAGTGGTTGATGTCGTGGCGGCCATTGTTGTCGGTGCTGCAGTGGTAGGCTTTGTGATGTTCAGCATAAACAGCTGTTTGGTCATGGCTGTTATTGCTTTTCCCGTGCGTGTATAGCCGCCTGTGTAAGGAGCAGCTCGGAGAGCAGCAGCAGCACTCTGTGCAGTGCCATACTTGTCAAAGTCAAAGTTGATAGTATACGAGGTAGAGTATGTAATCAGTGCTACACGGCTGCCATTGGGGTTGATATCAAAACTGGCTGCAATATCTGCTGCAAACCCCGTCGCTAATTTGAAGTTAGCTGCCCGTACGCTTCCCGACATGTCGATGACGAATGCCATGTCAACATCAGAATGGCAAGCTGCATATTCAACATGATGATTGCATAAACACAACACACATACACACACATACACACACACACACACACACACACACACACGCACGTCAACAACTACGATTTTAACTAATTTCTTTAGCACGAAATTGACAGGTGTGATAGCATGCGCTATCGGACATAAAGGGCAGGCTACACTTCTGCACTTTCAAGTATTTTCCTGTGTTGACGGTTCAACCGCGTCTCATAACGTATAACGAATATTTGTGAAAGCCGTGTCTGTGTAGTACATGCTCGTATGTGGTGTAAAACACTGATAGCCAGCTAATGATCACGCTAGCTGATTTAGTGAAGCTGGTCACGAGAGCGTGTTGTCGCTATTGCTTCATGCTGGAGCTGCTAGACTTCCAGACTCCTGATCCAACTATGAATTTGCATGCCAGCGGCTTGGTCTAGTACCCTTCTGAAGTAGTCCATGATAATTATTGTGTACAAGGTGCCAAGAGGCTAGAGCTTTGCTGCAGATCCCCCCTATTATTTCACTCTGCCTTGCCAAAAAAAAACCCCGACGGGTTCGCGTACCGGGCAGGTCAAGAACAAGGAGTCATGCAACTCCCTGGTCAAGAACCACCTTTCCGCTTCCGTGGGACGCCACCACCCCGTGATCAGGCGTCAAATGCGGCTCCTAAACGGTGGGGGAGGATAGATCAGATCTACCAACCATAGGCCAAAGGCATAAATCCCATTTGCCTTGCCAAGAGGAAAATAATAATTATTAATTGCTGGCTGGTTGTAGTGAATTATAGCTGGCATTCTGTCTCACTAGAATGCAATTGCAGCTATAGCGTATAGTGCTGGCTTATCTCCATTGTATATGGCAAAGGGCTAACGCCCAACACCTAGCAACCACACATGATGTAGTTTTCGTTAGCATCAAGCACACTGTTTATCCTCTCTGTTCTTGCTTCCTCTACTATAGCGGCAGCAGAGGACTGTCATAGTGTCATGGTAGGTCTGTGTCTTTGTACGTCTGCTCAGTGTGATTCGTTCGTCTTGGATTATAGAGGTTATGCGAATGGTAGCATGCTGGGGAGTCAGTGGAACCGCTTATGGGAGCTATGGATACGGTGTGAGCCGGTGGTTTCGCTTGAGCTAGTGCACATCGCTGTGCCTTGACTTTGCCAAAGCATCTCAACTGATGATGATGTAGCCAGCGTAGCCTCTATTGAATATGTACACTACCACAGCATAATACTCCAGGGCTGGACAACTTCTCCCATTGCCTCTCAGTGTAAGCTGTACAAGCATACATGTATTGTCACGTGAGATAGCAGGAGCAGGTGCATGCACATGGTATGGCCCACAAAGACCACGGGATGAACGCGTCCACGTGTATACTGTATGTTGTGGCAGTAGGATGGTGCTCCACATGAAGGCCGGGCTCCAATTCAAAACGAGATAAATCCATTTTGTGGAAATTTCAGCAAGCGCATTTTTCATTTGTTCTTTTTCGGTCTGCACTGCGTGACTTTTATCAGGTTTTGAAGAAGACGGCAAACTTCACGCATCATTTTGACTGGGATGTATCGCGCTTTGACCCGTAAAACCGACACACAGACGTCCGTGGGGTGAAAACGAATTCTTTCGTGACAAAAAAAGTTTGAAAAACGCAAAAGCTCCGGTTTGGTCTTTATCGAAGTTTTTGGATTGGAGCCCTTCATATGGAGGTGATGAGAATACATCATCAGTTGAGATGCGTTCCCCTTTGGTGAAGTCGCGACACAGCGCTGCAGTAGCGACTCACGCTGCATACATAGCACCCATTAACAGTTACCCTGTATACATAGCGGCCATTAACGGTTCCGCTGTATACAGCGTCCATTAACGGTTCTGCTGTATACAGCGTCCATAATCGGTTCCGCTGACTCACCCCGATGAAGTCATTCGCATAACCTCTATCTCGTTATCAGCGAATATTAATTTTTTTAATTCATTTATTATTACATGTACTTGTAGTAATAGCAGTCCTTACCGCATTGGTCATCGAACTTCCTCGTGTTGTTGATGTACATGCTTGCACGCTCGTCCAGGCCAGTGCTCGAAGGCATCGTATCCGTGAAGTCCTTGGCCCATAGCGCCGCCTGCGTGTCCAGACGTAGTGGCACAGCGAGCAGGGTTGGGTCTCTGCTAACCAGAACGTGGAGGTACAGGCGAACAGCCACCGCTGACAGAAGAGGAATCTTTAGAAGTTCAAACGGAATCTGCTGCCAGTCGAGATAACCACCAACTTCATTTCGGAACACAGTGCTGTTCAAAATGGCTCGACGAAGAGGGTCGACTGCTTTGAAATCGCTCAACGTGGTATTCGTTGTTTGAGTGATTTCCAGCATAAATTTCTTGGCAGCCCATGGCCCATGACCTCCTTGACCGACCGTGGCGGAAATTGTTCCAGCCGATTCCGTATACGCCACACGTCGCATGAAGCCATTGTCATTGGGAAAGATGTTGGACAGAGAGAACTTAGCCAGAACAGCCTCCACAATGTCACAGTACGGAACCTGGGTCTCATCGCCAGGCCCCGGGATGATCAGGGTAGCATCTTCTGCTTGTGACGGCATGCAGGCTGCGGCCAGAAGAACTACTGGTATGATCAATGGCGCCAAGCGAGAGTCGCGATGTTTGGAAGACATGATCAGATCCCGCTGCTGTTCCTGTTCAAGACGCTGAGCGCTGGTTAGTCCTCCTTTGGCACTCTAGTGGAGTGAATGTTGTGACCTGGACTAGACACCACAACACACTGGTTGCTGCTTTCCGAGGAGGAAAGATTTTAGCTTCTGATGCTCCTATTACTTAGTCTTTCATGCCACAATGCTGGGAAGATTTCTTGGAGCACGCGTCACAAGTGACGGGATCGAAGCACCCGCCCCAATCGTGAGTCATTTCTTTTGGTTGGGGCACGATGGTGTGGACTACATGGTGGGGGAATCTGAGCGGCTGAGGAAGGAGCTGCACGATCCGTGCAACACACTAGACATGACGTGAGGTGAATTCGGATGCACAGAGATGACTTGATCAGTTGACCATGGTTGACATCCAGTCCTTTTTCGGTATGGAGTAAGATGCAAGACTGGTAGCTGGTTCCTGCAGACGCTGCAGCATGCACAGCTAGCTTGTCACTGACAGTCAGTGTCAGTGACACCTGAACAGCGAACACACACACCGTGACACGGAAGCTTCAAGCCGGGGTAGGGTTCGCTTTTTTACTTGTCAGGACACTAGTACTTAGTAGTAGTACTAGCTAGTACAGTAGTAGTCATGTACATGTAAAGTCAGGGCTCACAGCATCACACAAAAGCGTGGGCGCCATTTTGGACAGGCCGCTGTCACACGAGCCAGCCAGCATGCCAGAATCGTGTACATGCGATCAGGCAGATATCTCTGAAAACTTGAAAGTGGGGTGCATTCAAAATGTTCATTTGTACCAATGCTTTTTCCTAGGCCTCTGAAACTCTAGGAACATAACTCTCAATACCCATGGTAAGGATTTGTCCGAGAGTTTTTTGTTTTAATCGATACGGTTTGGCATATATATGGAGCCAAAGTATCAGTTGGTGCAGGCGTAATTCTGATTTGGATTATTGTACTAAAATTGAAAAGTCGCTCGGAGAAGTTCTTCTAATTTTCCTACTGAAAATTTTAAGCTATTGGCCATCAAAATCGGGCCAGAGACGGGTACAAACGAACATTTCAAAGGCAACCCTATCTGCAGTGCAGCCGCGAGGAAGAACCGCGCGCGCTGCACTTGTTATGAATGCGGAAACAACACTAGCAGCAAAGCAATTTTTTGAAATGTTTTTGCTACTCGCCTGGCGCTTCATCGCTGTGTCCTCCAGGAGTTATCAAGGCTATGGCAGACCGAAGAAATACATGGCCAGCACAACGGCGAAGCTATTGGACTTGTTCTCTTGCAACGAAACGGAGTGGCGAATCAAATAATTCACAACTCCACATCGTCACCACTGCGCTACACGGCTCTTCGCAGACCAGCCGTATATTTACGTTTACACAACAGGACTTCACGGCGGAGAAACTAAAACTAGAACACGACGTGAGTCATTGCTCCATGCCGTCAAGGAATGCTAGTCCTTTCCCCCTCCCGTCACCCGCGCCTGTGCATCAGTGGCGTAGCTGCCCGGCTGTAGATGTTGAACTCTTTCGTCAACGACTGCAGGATTCTGCTCGGGGCTACTTTTCGCAGGACTCCGTGTGCGGACAGTCTGAATGAAGCCTTCGGCCGACACGGCCAACACTGCTCGCGAAATAATCCACTTGGAAGGAAACAAGAACTACCGAAATGAAATAGAGATAGTGAGACAGTCTCCGGCTATCTCCTTCACCATTCACGACTCAGTCCTTGTCACAGCAACTAAGCCCAAGCAAGTCAAAATCTCCTTGCGCGGCTGCGTTCTACGCGGTCACGCGAGTTCGTTTCTACGGTGATCAGATCCAAGATGTCCTCCCACGTAATCGAGGTTTTGGCATGGTTGCTGTGAGCCCTGATTAAGTAAAGTAAAGTATTAGTTTGCACGTCCGCGTTACCAAGGTTACCACCGGCTATGCGTTGAGAAACACAACCAGTCATGTACATGTATAGCCTACTAAAGTAAAAGTAGTTACTTCACAAGAAACTCTACTACAGTGTTGCGTCGTGCACGCTCGCTGCTACTAATGTATGCATCTCTGGTACTGTAGCATGGAAATCCCCACATGTACTGCGCACATCAGGTCAACGAGGAGCCACATACATGTCTCAAAGGATCAGTCGGGGGGGGGGGGGGGGGGGGGGGGGAGTGAACCGTCGAACAATTCTCCTCAACATAAATTGATAGTTCTTATTATTGCATGCTGCAAGCAGTGATGAGATTGTGTTCATGATGAAAATTGATCATGATGATAGCTCGTGTTATGTCTGGGCGATCAAGGAATATGAATTCTCCAAAGGCAATTGATATGATACTCTGATTGTGCATATTATGTACAGTCTGGTTGGTGCCGTTCAGGTGTCACAATTCTCCTCAACATAAATTGATAGTTCTTATTATTGCATGCTGCAAGCAGTGATGAGATTGTGTTCATGATGAAAATTGATCATGATGATAGCTCGTGTTATGTCTGGGCGATCAAGGAATATGAATTCTCCAAAGGCAATTGATATGATACTCTGATTGTGCATATTATGTACAGTCTGGTTGGTGCCGTTCAGGTGTCACAATTCTCCTCAACATAAATTGATAGTTCTTATTATTGCATGCTGCAAGCAGTGATGAGATTGTGTTCATGATGAAAATTGATCATGATGATAGCTCGTGTTATGTCTGGGCGATCAAGGAATATGAATTCTCCAAAGGCAATTGATATGATACTCTGATTGTGCATATTATGTACAGTCTGGTTGGTGCCGTTCAGGTGTCACAATTCTCCTCAACATAAATTGATAGTTCTTATTATTGCATGCTGCAAGCAGTGATGAGATTGTGTTCATGATGAAAATTGATCATGATGATAGCTCGTGTTATGTCTGGGCGATCAAGGAATATGAATTCTCCAAAGGCAATTGATAATTATGATACTCTGATTGTGCATATTATGTACAGTCTGGTTGGTGCCGTTCAGGTGTCACAATTCTCCTCAACATAAATTGATAGTTCTTATTATTGCATGCTGCAAGCAGTGATGAGATTGTGTTCATGATGAAAATTGATCATGATGATAGCTCGTGTTATGTCTGGGCGATCAAGGAATATGAATTCTCCAAAGGCAATTGATATGATACTCTGATTGTGCATATTATGTACAGTCTGGTTGGTGCCGTTCAGGTGTCACAATTCTCCTCAACATAAATTGATAGTTCTTATTATTGCATGCTGCAAGCAGTGATGAGATTGTGTTCATGATGAAAATTGATCATGATGATAGCTCGTGTTATGTCTGGGCGATCAAGGAATATGAATTCTCCAAAGGCAATTGATATGATACTCTGATTGTGCATATTATGTACAGTCTGGTTGGTGCCGTTCAGGTGTCACAATTCTCCTCAACATAAATTGATAGTTCTTATTATTGCATGCTGCAAGCAGTGATGAGATTGTGTTCATGATGAAAATTGATCATGATGATAGCTCGTGTTATGTCTGGGCGATCAAGGAATATGAATTCTCCAAAGGCAATTGATATGATACTCTGATTGTGCATATTATGTACAGTCTGGTTGGTGCCATTGAGCAAAAGGATAGATACTCCTGTGCAATAAGGTTGTACTGTGTGATGCTAGGAGATGGGCAGGTGAACAGTATGCGCTACAATAATCAATATACTAACGTCACTAGGTTTGCACCACAGAATGTGAGTGGATGCCTAGTATGGTACATTGGTGGCCAGCGCCAGTACAAGGAGTCTAGACTAAGGGTACGTAGCTGTACAGTCATATATACAAGTACAGTATGTAACTTAGTTGAGAAAATTCAATCATTGTAATATTGTTACCAAGCTGTCACTCGGTGAGTATGTGCAATGGCTATGGTCAGTCGAATCTTAGTTACCGGCTAAGTGCACAGCAACTGCACACATGATCAAGGTGAAGATGCTCAACGTGGGCAAATGGGCGCCAGTAGAGCCGAATGATTGCTCGGTATCCCGGTGCATGACTGTGGGTGCAGGTTCCGTAGCTGTGGTCGGGATCACATTACCTGACTGAGCCTGCATCAAGAACTGAGCAGTGTCCGACCTGGCCACAATGGATATGTACAGCTGCCTTGCTTTATCCGATGACGCCGTGTCTCGGCGGCGCCGCCTTCGCCCTGCACTGGCAGCTGAATTCTCAATCGCTTGCTCGTCTGTCACCAGGAAGTGAGCTGTCTGGCCACTAAGCACCTCCCCGCTGGCATCATTCAGCGCTGCATTCGGATTGGGAAAGCTGAATGAAGCGAAGAAGCCGAGATCACCTGTTTGCGAGGTGATGGTCACCGTAGTAACTGCAGGGTCCTCTGGCGGGATGGGGACAGTGACAAACTGGGTTTCGTTTTCCGTCAGACTTCCACCGACAGGCTGTTCCAGGTCAACGGGAGCAGGAGCTGTGACATCAACAACAAACATGCAGAGAAAACAATGGTAAGGTTTTGCAATGGAGGAGCTACTAGGTACCCGTCAATTCCTAGTCCTATCATTGACTTTGCGGGGCTACGAACATTTCTCTTAAAAGTGTGACATTTCCATCACTCGCACAGGTCTACGCAGACACTCAGACACATACGCACACGCGCACACACGCACATACACCACCACCACTCATACACACACGCACTGACACTATCAGATTGTCTCAAAACCAGTTCTCAAGTCTTCTCCTTACATCTGCAAGTCCTCTCGCGAATGCTTGTCCTGATGTTCTCAATGACGGAGAAATCGTTCACCTTGTACACGTGTGCTTCGTCTGGGTCTGATGCGATCTCCTCCAACTCCTGCTGATTGATATTGCCTACACCAATGGCAAACATGGTGATGCCAAGGTTGTGCGCGAGTTGCGAAACAGGCAGGACGTTATCCATAGATTTCCCGTCCGTGATGACAATACCAACGCGAGGCTGGACGTAAATCGGTGCCACCGTTGGCACAGCATCCGTGCTGGTGACGGGAGGCTCACTGCTGGTGGGTAGTCCGGGCATCGATGGAACACCTCCACCGCCAGGGAAGTCGGGCAGTTGGTCGAAAAATGGTGGCACAGTTGTCGCTGGTGCTGTCGTTGTTTCGGCTGGTGTAGTGGTGGGCGTTGCAGTGGTTACAGCCACCGCTGGGCTGGTGCTTGTCACAGTATTGTTCAGCATAAACACGTACTTGATCATGGCGGAGATTGCGCGTGCAGTCCTGGTGCGGCCGCCAAGGTATCTTGCGTTCCTGATAGCGTCTGCCACACTGTCAGTCGTATTGTAATGATCCAGGGGAAAGTTCAGTACTGGGTTTGTGGAGAATGTCACCAGACCAATGCGAGTGGCATTGGGGCCTACGTTGAAACTGGAAGCAATGGCTGCTGCAAACGCTGTAGATTGCGCAAATCCAGTTCGGCGAACGCTGCCAGACATATCCAGGACGAAGGACATATCAACATTTGCGTTGCAAGCTGCACGAAACGACAAGAGAGGGGAAAATTTTAAGAAGAAGAAGCAAACATAGAACGTACAAATAGTCCCAACAAACTACAGCAACATTGCATCCGTGTGAACTAGGATTGTAGGATAGGTATTCTACATGCTGGATAATGTATTCAGGATAAAGATCTGATCATGGGCCGCACACAGTGCACGCAGTGTAGCGTGACCAGGGAGACCTGCAGATGGATTGTCAAGTACAGTCTACAAAACAATTAGCTCCAGGTATGGTTAGACTCAGCGGGTGGAGAGGCAAGGATTAATTTATAAGAAGAAAAGAGGACCAAAGAGCAACAAGACTTAGTTATGCACCTTCCCCTCCTTCCCCTCCTTATGTTATTTCTATAACTTCGAACCTTCCAAGCTGGAAGGCTGTTGGAGTGCGCATCTAAGATGTGCTAGAGCTGATTGCCAGTTAGGTGTAGAACATCAGTACCGTTGGTCTGTGTCATGCAATGTTATCGCGTGAGCTGATTGTATTAAAGTAACTGGTGGTGTTAGTGGATAACATAGCGTAACTTGTAGCTCTTTGGTCCTGGTATGGGTCACAATCCGTCATATTCACCACACCGACCATCTTCAGAAAAAGACTTACCACATTCGTCATCAAATTGGCGTGTGCGATTAACGAACAGTTGAGCACGCCTGTCTTCGTCTGCACTGGACAGGTCCTTGTCTGTTTGCTCCGCGAAGTTCTTCGCCCATAGAGTTGCCTGTGAATCCAAGCGAAGAGGCACGGCGGAAAGGCTGGCGTCTCGCGAGATGAGGATGTGTAGATACAGGCGTACTGCCAGTGCTGACAGAAGAGGAATCTGCAAAAGCTCGAACGGAACCTGCTGCCAGTCGAGAAAGCCACCAACTCCATTTCGAAACGCGGTGCTGCTCAGAATGGCTTGACGAAGAGGGTCGACTGCTTGGAAATCACTCGATGTGTTATCCGTTGTCTGGGTGATGTTCAGCATAAACCTCTTGGCAGCCCATGGTCCGTGACCTCCTTGACCGACCGTGGGGGAAATTGTTCCAGCCGATTCTGCATATGCCACGCGTCGCAAAAAGCCATTATCATCCGGAAAGATATTAGCGAGAGAGAACTTTGCCAGAACAGCCTCCACGAGGTCACAGTAGGGGGCGGCGGCGCTCGGATCGCCTGGGATAATCAGAGTGGCATCCTCTGCCTGTGCTGGCGATGTGGACATGGTCACTGTGAGTACTACAACGCAGGTAAGGAAGAGTAGGACACGCAACTTAGGCCGACACCCTGCCATCTTGCTTGGTCAATGCACAATACTCCCAGCAAAGTAATAACTGTATTAGTTCACACAGGTACTTTTTAAAACTAAGTAGAGCGAAAGAATAATGTTGTCGTTACAGACAGGAAATGTTGTGCTGCCGTATGAGAAAGTCAAGCGCTTTTATAGCACTCCTGGATGCGGCGTTCAGTTGCCAACACGATGCCTCTAGACTAGAGCAGCGCTAAGCAGTGGTTGCTGTTTGTGTTCAACGTTCGCCTCCCCGTGTCCCACTCATACTTTTGCATGGTAAGATGCTCCGGAATGCCTCTATCTCCACATACATGTATGCACGCTTTGCCATACATGGTGCGATAGATAAGGCTGAACGATAACAGAGTGTCTGAGTATGGTGTCAGTACTTCACGTAGAGAATCGCGCAGCATGCATGCAGACACACGCACACATTCACACACACACACACACACACACGCACACACACGCACACAAGTCGCCTGACACACGCATGCCGTTACTTAGACTACGGCACTAGAAGCCATTACCGTTTTTGCCATTCCCTACGCCTGCGGGACGCACTGGCACGTACGGCCACCTTCACAGATTTATGTGAAATCCTGGCCAATGTCAGCCACACCATATTAGTCCCAATAGTGATCAGGCCTTGAATGGAGAGCTTGACAGGCGGCAGGGTATGCGACAAGTTAGTTGTCATGGTGGTGTGCTGCCTCTCAGCACCTAGCACCTACTAGTACTAGTACTAGTACTGAGCTACTGTAGTGTAGAATCATTGTCACTGAGTGCATGGCAGAGAGTCTAGCTGTATCAAGAAAAGCCTTCCCTATATTTCTGCTCGTAGTCTGCATTCTGCAGCCGTGTATGGTCTTACAAAGCCTCCGTAGAGTCGCGGATTCAATGGCACTCAGTGTTTGAGTTTTTGCTTGGCGACAAGAACTCGCGGCACGGTTGTTTCAGGCAAAGCAAAGTGTCAGCTGAGGGACCTCGCCCAGCGCGATACATTATGCCAAGTTTAGAGTGGTGCTATCGACACACATGACCGTTGAGCGCAAAAGAGCTCAGATCTAGAAGTAGAGGGTTGCTGTAAATCTAGCAACACCAGGCAATGGCAGCTGTCATGATTATGTGCTTGTGCAAAATACGGTATTGCAAGCCCAGCAAAAACTACACTGTAGTGCCTACCCCTAGGCCCTACCCGTGTCATGAAACATGGAACAATCGCACCCATTTTCCGGTGCAGCTGCAATGGCGAATCTACGTGCTTGCTCGCGTGTAAAATATATTCAGCGTTGCAAAACAACTAGAGGCTGAAATAGGTGAGAGCTCAAAGACGCAAGGGCCGGGCCTTATGTGGTAAACAAAGAACATCCCAGCTTATTGGGTGGACGTGGGAGCTGTAACCCCCTTGGCACCGACTCCTGCCTAGTCATGGTGTACTTCACAAGACTTGAAGTACACAAGTCATGCACACATTGATAAACACATCACTGCTACAGCATACAGCGGCAGCAGGCTCTTTGTTGTTCCTACAAGTACAGTGTGTATTTCAAAAAGATTTCAATGAAGTACCAAGAGTTCATGCACTCTTGGAAGTACCTGTGGCCGTAAAGCTAAAAGAGAGCGACATAGCGCATGACGCGAGTCTATCGATGACGGCCTATCATCACAACTGCGTGACTTGTATTGTAGTACTACTACTACTAGACAGTAGTCTACATGACGTATTGTAGTGTCTGGCGCATGCATCCTCTCACAATCTTCAGTTGGGCTGCTGTTCAGCGAAACAGCCTTTGAAACCAGTGTCCAGTCATTCCTGTTGTTGCGGGAGCTGACAGGTGCGTAGGCCCTCCATCGCAGGACTGTAAACACGTGTTGTAGTGTGGAGGCGATCGTTTTTAATTGTTTCTTGTTATTCAAAGCCCCGTTTGCTGCTTGGAACATCATCACCGTGCAGTAAATTATGTATTGTATCGGACAGTGGTGAGTTTTCCGTCAGTGCACTGCCGGTGTGCCAACTGCTGCCCGGACCACTGCATCCAAATACAGTGTAGCGCACTGGCAACTAACTTGTTACTTGCCCAAGCTCTCGCACACATGCTCCAAGCGACCACAGTTCTACAGTCCCGTGGCCATGCAGTCTGCAGTCTTCGGTTGGGATAGAACTTAATAAGTCTTTACTTAGAAGCCCATGCATAGAACGCCAACTGGTTAGTTGCTTTACCGGCTTAGACATGCTGGTCACGTGGTCTAAGCAACGACAAACTCAAGATAATATCCCGGCCATGATTGGAGAGAGAGAGAGAGAGTGAGAGAGAGAGACAGGGCACGCGTGCGCGCGTGTGTGTATGAGAGAGAGAAGAAAGTAATCATCTTTTTATTTTATTGATAATTACGGATAACCCGAAGGCTGGATGGAGTGCCTATGTCAAGGGGTGTTCCGGACAAGCAAGTATCATGTAACGAGCTCAGCGGTGAGCGAAAACAAAAGCAATGGGATAGATGAATATTTTAAACTGCTTACCGTATGTATCAATAAGGAAAGATAGCGTTGTACTGCACACCCATGTCATGATGACAGTCATCATAAATACATAATAACCGTATGACCAGATTTGGTCAGGAATGTTTCAATGGCAAAGTGGCAGTTTTCTGACTGTGCATGGAGATAGGAACGGTTGAGCCCCAAAGCACCTCCTTGCCAGTGCAGTTGTGATAAGCGTTCTTTCTCTGAAGTCTGATGTCCCATCGGTTGCCACTCGAACTGAGAGAGGCTGACAATGGCACTCATCGATCATCTACACTGATATGCATGTAGATTGATAAAATAAATAAAAGGGGGGGGGGGGGGGATAAGAATACGGTGCCCGGCCACACGTGTGCATGTGACAGTTGGGTAAACACCGAGGAGCCGGCCCTACACAGGACAGGTACATAAACAGGGTCCAGTAGGCAGTAGCACTGCAAGCTTCCATTCAACTATAAAACGACATTCGTGGAGACTATTACTTGTCACAATGTGAGTGCCATTGCCATTGCCAGTACATCACTCGTCGGTATTCAGAAAAAAACTCAAGGGGGAAGACTGAAGTGAAGAGGAGGGCTGCAGTCACGTACTCTGCACTCCACAGATACTAGTACTACCCATGATTGTATGCCATGCATGCTGTCTAGACTCTACAGATAACAGTGGTCTACTGCATACTCCCCCCCCCCCCCCACCCCCCGGCTATTGGCGCTGATGAGACCTTACAGCAAAATTCAACAGCATGCTCAAGACAAGAGTAAAAAAAACCAAGACAATGTTAGCATGTAGACCCGCATTTACATTGTACTACAGCACACCTCTTTCCCCCACATGCATGCAGTCCATTCCCCACAGCCTGGCACAGGCCAAACATTCATTCATATCCATAACTACCGGTATTATTTTTGGGCTCAAACGATTAGTCCGATTAACCGGTTGCAGACCGGTTACGAAGAATTAACGGTTAAGGGGGTTCGGGACAGTTAGGCCCAAAAATTTAATTTCAACATCAGCCCAATCTGACATCAGGTTTGAATAGGTACAGCCTTATATTTTCGCTTAGTAACATCAGTTTTTCAATTGCCCGAATAGGTCTTGCCAAAAACACAATTTTCCTTGATGACACAAAATGACACAAAATCCCAAAATTGATGAGAAATCGTCCATAACATCAGTTAGGACAGAAAATATGACATAAAATTTTACAGACTGTTCGAGGTATTGACTAAGATGATATGAACACCGAAAAATGTACACTTTGGTTGACGATGGGATCCAGGTCGTCATTTCCTGGAGAAGAACAAAAAGACGCAAAAAATGAAACTTTGAATATTTTTTGCAGCTTATTTTTGAGTTTGCCCCATATGTGGATACTTCAAACACGTTCTATAAGTGGGTTGGAACAGGTTTACCGTGGCGAAAATAGGGGTCACCGTGCATATTCTTGAGAAAAATCCAAAAAACTGTCAAAATTTGCCTAAAATTGGTAAATTCACGTATCTATATTGCTTGTACTTCTCTGCTGCTGCTTTGGTCATAACTTATTGGATTTTTGGCTGTTAGGTGTTGCATAAACTCACTAGAGCCCTTGATGTTCAGAACAATACAAGGATGGAATAGCTGAACTAGTAAATTTGCCGGAAAACCCTGGGTGCATGCATTATCGATAGGTACTTTTCTCCATGATTACTCTCCTGTTGGCACTTGGTTGTGATACATGTACATGTAGCTATGATAGCGCTTAGCACTGCCCCATATCAAACTACAATGAAAGCTGACATGTTGGAACGAATCAGACAACATTGAGTCCTCTTGTTCTTCAACTATGCGAGCTAGAACGTGTCCCCACACTGGCAAAAATGATGGTATTTTACGGTGCGCACAAACAAGTGAAGCACTGTGCCACAGGGCGTTCCTTACAGTTGGGTTGCTGCTGGTTCTTCGCTAGGTGTTCAGCCACCACTAATATAATCTTCCTTGAGACTGTCACCCGCTTCTTACCTCCGACTTGCTCCTTCATCAGTCTGGAAATGGCTGGCTCACCACTTCGTTTGTAGGACAAGACAAAGTGCTTCATCACCAACCCACTGGCAGCTGCCCGCACTGCAACTGATTTAGAGAAGCACGTTGCTTGGACCAACGGTTGAAGGGTGGCCAGCCGCTTTTGCTGATGTTCTGCAAACTCCATCGCCGAACATGCTGATGCAAAAGTGACAGAGTGCTACAGGATACTGGCATCAGGGCGAGCTTCGACAATTTCAGGTAGGGCCGCAACATCCGCAACAGCATCATGAGCAGCGAACTCATTCCCAACGATGAACTATAAATCAATCTGAGGCTGTAGCTTGGGAGCTCCGGTATCGCGGTTTAGGGATCAGAGTGTTCACCAATCACAAAATGCACACCATCGACACACACATCCGTGCACACATACACACACACACACACACACACACACACACACACACACACACACACACACACAAACACACACACATGCATGCTCTCACACGCAATAGAACACACGCGCGCGTACACACACATACATTCACGCACGTGTGCGTACCCACCCACATGGATGTGCACACTCATGTGCATGAGTGGAGATGCCCGCATACACATGTCACACCAACATGCCCTGGGAGCGGTCATGCACGTGTGTATAGTACGTGTGCGAGGGCACGTCCACATGAGCGCATATGCATGTGCATGTTCATACATGCGTATGGTGCACACATGCACAAACATGCAGGTCTATGCAAACACACAGACGCTCGCGGCCGCCGCGCATACAGTGTGCTCATACATTTCCATAGCCATAGGATGGCAATGACTCGCAAAAATGATATCATGAATAAATCTTATGAGATTGAAAAACGCACTTACCCAAAGCAGCTTTGGTGTTGCGTGTGGAAGCACGGGGGCCAGGGTGTTGAGCAGTTACAGGGCTATCTGTATCTATAAAATAATTCTCCATCCCACACTGCTGACACGGAATGACAAGTACGCTGCCCAGGTCGTACCTCTTCTCTTCAACGCAATCAATGAGCGCCAGAGGTTTGCCACATCCAGGATTCTGGCACGCAGACAATCCCACAGCCAGATACCTGAGATGAACGATTCGTCGACCGTGAAGAGGGGCACTGAACGACCTCTTCGCGGGAGTCGAATCCAGTGGCGTTAGTGATGGAGATCGCACTTTCCGTTTTTCAGGAACTCGATCGATCGTTTGAGTTTGCGAAGCGTCCCCCTAGGCCCTCCTCGGCTTCTTGCACCGTCCAGTACGCAGAATCCGGGCCGCGTCGTGGGTGACGGATTACTCTCCCGCGTCTTCATCTCCACGACACGTCGGCAGGAGAACCGAGCTATCCAAAAACCGCCAATGTCAAAACAAATCCGCAAGTCCACTAGTAGCAGTGGCTGAGCTTCTTCCTCAAATCTTGTCTCGACTCGAGCACGCGCTGCGAAGTCATGGTCAAACTATTTTCTGTGCATGATCGCGTCCCATTTTTCCACTCCGAAAGGCATTATTTTTCAGAAAAAAATTCGGAAATCCAACATGGCGCTAACCGTCGCGAACCTCCTTAACCGATAAAGATAACGGTTACGCAGTAACTTTTCAGTCAATTTTTCAAGTATCAGGTCGTTGCAAAGTGTGCACTTTCGCGGGCTGTCGCACGCGTACTGTCAACTCGGTCATATCTGGTCTCTTGGTGTGAGAGTATGTATGAATGAGCATGCAAGAGAATGTACAAGTGTGCGTTGTACTGAATAGGGTACATTTTTTGAATGAGTGTAGTCAAATATAGGGTTAAAAAAGAGTCCGCAGTATTGCCGTGGCTTGTAGGTTATAACCGGTTAAAGGGAAACTGAACGCCAAAAATAAGTATGGCTTATCCGAAGGAGAATTGGGCACTGATTCCGATGAGCTATGTCTCGAGCCGATCAGAGAAGAGGAATCGTGTCAAATTTCATAAATAACACCTTCCATATTTGGAAATTGGGCTTGATGACGTGCGTACTGCTTAGCTGTCACCATGCTGTGCATGCTCAGCAGTGTAATTGAATGGAAGAAAGCAATTACTTTGGTGTTTTGCAGTTCTATTTCGTTCCCTGACGGTAATCAAATCTAGATGTAGGAATCTGTTGAGCAGGAGAGTGACACATGTCTTCCCGAAGGCTGTCCAGCCTGCAGTGGTGATGAAGAAGACACGAATATCACCCCAAGATCGATTGTAGCGAATTGAAAATCTCATGGTGAATTTGCTTCCACTCCAAGGCAATGTCGAGGTATGAAGGGTGCTTGTACTGCCTTCCAAAGTGCAGCGGAGATGAACATGGCTTTGCATAGCTGTTGTTCTACGCCAACTTACCTACTCTTGCTGGTACCGTAGTGGTATATTGCAAATTTCGTGGACGAACAATTCGAGTCACTAGTGGCTAGTGAGCAACACTAACAGGTGAGATTTTTCAATTTGACAAAAATTGTTCTTGTTTGAGAACAGACGGTGGCAGTCATTAGACTCAGTAGGTGTCTCTCTGCGGCTTCTTTCCCTTCATCGATAGGGTTGTGCTTGAAGTCGAAATAAATAGAACATGTGGAACAAAAATCGGATCACGTAATTCGAATTTCAATTTCAAAGTACATATGTGTACATCAAATCACAAAAATTTCAATATGGTGCTGTGCACTGAAAAAGACTGGGAGCTGGCAGCAATGGAAAGGGTAGAAACGAAACCAGTAAAGTAGAGTATTCATAAGGTAGAGGGAGTTGAAAACGGGAGACGAGTAGTGAGCATTTCAGTTCGAAGTAGTGTCAATAGACAGCATCGTGTTGCATATGTTGTGAATATTGTGCGAATCTAATAATTGGCAGACGGTAGTGATTAAGCAGAGTATTGTTACAATACGAGGTACTTTGTGAGCAGATAGCAATCAATATCACGACATGGTTTAGACAGGAACTCATAAATGTCAAGAAATTGATAATCCAAAATTATAATTATTATCCCCTGAGTAGTATAATTATTATGGTAATCTCCTGTGTTTACATGCAGAGCCTTGACGTTGCTGGAGGAGCGACAATATAAATTACATAAACTTGTAGCTCACAATGTCGGATGACTGCCGTATTGCATTGCCAACGCAAACCCATCCTGTGTCAGTCCAGCCATCCAGCAACTTGTACTCCCCGGACCAGATGCCGCTGCAGCTGAACACCATGCCGATGGAAAGCCAGGAGTTGATGGCGAAGCATTCTGGTCTGCACAGTACAAGGCAAAGAACAATTATGAATTATAACGCATTGTAATCCTTCCCACACGTCTTTGTAAAAACAAACAAACAGTGCCATTATCACAACACTTGATCAAGCATCTTGATGGAGGTATTTTCCATTGTGCTGGCCCAGCATCTCCACCAGGAAGACCATGTACACTTACAAGTATCTTGTGTGTGTGTGTGTGTGTGTGTGTTTGTGTGTGTGTGTGTTTGTGTATCCGTCTGTGCACACGTGTGTGTGTGTGGGGGGGGGGGGGTAGACGCATATGTGCATGGGTAGGAGTGTGTGTGTGTGTGTGTGGGGGGGGGGGGGGGGTCACGCACATGTGTATGGATGTGCGCGCTGCATGCGTGTGTCTGTGGGATGGGGTGGAGGTGCACGCACATGTGTACATGTGTGCGCGCAAAATAGAATGTGAGTATTGTGTTCGTTGAACACAGGGAGTCCTCCTGATTCCATAAACTTTGTGATCATTGTAATTTCATGCGCTTTCAAGTTGAAATTCGCAATACATGTACTGATGCTTGATTAGATTTATGTTCCACATGTTCTATTTATTTTATTTTACTTCAAGCACTTGTACTATCAAGCACAACCCTACCAATGAAGGGAAAGAAGCAGCAGAGACACCTACTGAGTCAAATGACTGCCACCGTCAGTTCTCAAACAAAAACAATTTTTGTCAAATTGAAAAGCTCACCTGTTAGTGTTGCTCACTAGCCACTAGTGACTCGAGTTGTTCGTCCACGAAATTTGCAATATGCCACTACGGAACCAGCAAGAGTAGGTAAGTTGTCGTAGAGCAACAGCTATGCAAAGCCATGTTCATCTCCGCTGCACTTTGGAAGGCAGTACAAGCACCCTTCATACCTCGATATTGCCTTGGAGTGGAAGCAAATTCACCATGATTTTTCCAATTCGCTACAATCGATCTTGGGGTGATATTCGTGTTTTCTTCAACACCACTGCAGGCTGAACAGCCTTAGGGAAGACATGTGTCACTCTCCTGCTCAACAGATTCCTACATCTAGATTTGGTTACCGTCAGGGAACGAAATAGAGCTGCAAAACACCAAAGTAATTGTTTTCTTCCATTCAATTACACTGCTGAGCATGCACAGCATGGTGACAGCTAAGCAGTACGCACGTCATCAAGCCCAATTTCCAAATATGGAAGGTGTTATTTATGAAATTTGACACGGTTCCTCTTCTCTGATCGGCTCGAGACATAGCTCATCGGAATCAGTGCCCAATTCTCCTTCGGATAAGCCATACTTATTTTTGGCGTTCAGTTTCCCTTTAACCGACCGTTAGCTTAGCAGTTAACCGTCAGGGGTAAAACCGTAACCGTTTGAGCCCTAATTATTTTACTCATCTCGGTAGTACTGCATCAGTGCATGAATGCATCTGCATGCGCATGATCAAGAGCAAAATGTACCAATACAGTAGTACTGTAGTCGCGTTTCTCATGCATTTACGTCATTTACCCAGTCCCTGGCACAGCCTTTGGTCACAGGGCTTCACTCTTCCGGCAGCAATGATGTTGCTATTGCAATTATGCCGCAGCAGCACATTAACATGCTGCATATCAAGCAGCAGAACGAGTATCCGATATCGACTGATTCGCATACTACAGGGCTGACATCCACACTTTGACGAGAAGAATGCATGTCTTGATCTGCTTCCCTCAGATCCTGTCTGCTATTTCTCTAATGGAAAACGCTGTTCGTAATTCAAGGCTAAAGCAGCGCGAAGCACGGGGCCGCTAGAGTCACGGGGTTCATTCAGCACGACCGCGGTACACAGTGCTTTTGAATGTCCACAATACCAAACAACAACCACCACTTGTCCTTAAAACACGCAACGGTTAGTTTTCGTCACTAAAACTTAGTAAAAAGCCAAGAGCGTTTGCTAAGTGAAACTGATGGGCATGGACAGCATACCAG